TAAATAAAATTTCTGACAAAGAAAAACGAGAAAAGGTACATGTAGCTTTAAAAGTGATTCAGACTGAACTTAATGAAATTAATTTTCTTAAGGAAATACAGAATTTTGTAAATATGTTACAGAACGATCCAGATTTAATTATGTTTGGAAAATATTTTGTCGATAATTATATAAATAGATGTGAACAGTGGGCATATGTGTATCGTAAATCAGCAGGTGTCAACACAAACATGCATTTAGAGTCTATGCATAAGTGCATTAAATATTTTCAACTTGATGGGAAAGTTGTTAAAAGGCTGGATAAGGGAGTTCATGCCGTAAATCTCTATATTAGAGACAAAATTATTGATCGCATGATCAAGCAAATCAAAGGGAAAGACACAAGTCATTTGAGAAATATTGAAAAGAGGCATGAAATAGCATTGAAAAGTTCTTTCCAAGTTAGTAATAATTATGAAAATGTTTGGTATGTAATAAATAATGGACAGCAATATATTGTTTCTAAGAAACCAACGCACATTTTATCTTGTTGTGAATTAAAGTGTGTTAAATGCAACATTTGTATTCACACATATGAATGTACTTGCGTTGACTATTTTATAAAGGGAATCATGTGCAAACATATTCATTATATTGCTGTACCACAAAATAAAAGGGACAATGATACTGAAGTAAATGTAATTCACTCTAAGAGTATCAGCAACAGTACCATCGGCGAAACTGAATTACAACCAGGTACAAGCAGTATTGTTAGGGTTCACAAAGGACAAGATAAACGGGACTTACTTAAACAATATGGCCAAGAGCTTACTGAACTTGATCTAACTCATGTTGATGACAGTATAGTAGAACATGCTTTAAAAGTTCACAGGAACAGCATAAATTTATTAAAAAGTAATCTACACCATGACATGCAATCTGCTGTAGTTATAAACAATAAAGAACCAGCAAATAAGAAAATACGGAAGCAACAAAGCTTTTATTCTACTAAGAAAAAAAGAATGCTAAAAAAAACCGAATATGCTACGAAACAGTGAGTTGTCATCAATGAAATCCGTTTTATTGTCCGAAAAATACATTTTAACAAACCCTTCTGATGAACATAATTATGCAAAAACTGATATAATTTAATTACAGTGTGTATTTATTTTAATAAAACTTTTTGTAAAAACGTTTTTTCAAAAATTTATATTATTGTATCTGGTTTTACATTCATTTTAATTTATTCATTCGAATTTTCACTTGTACACATGGTAGGTGAAGTATGTCTTTCAAGGGAAAGTTAAAATTTCATCAATGAGTTATCCAAATAAATCTTTCAGGCTTCCTATATAAAGTAAATCTAAGTAAACCTTCATATTACTCTTTCTGCTTTTTAATATATTTGTTAACGATTTACAAACGGTAATTAACTCCGACCAATTTTTATTATTCGCTGATAACATAAAAATCTTCAGATCTATTTGCTTGCCTCTTTGATTGTGAATGTTTTCAGTTGTCCTTAAATAATTTTTCACGTTGGTGTGAACTAAATGTTTTAAACTTAAATCTAAAAAATGTTTTAAAATCACGTTTAGTAAAACGCAGGCTTCTTTTAATATAATTACACACTTAATGGTATTGTTCTGCAAGAGATACGTCAAGTACGTGATTTGGGTATAACACTGGATAGAAAACTGAGCTTTAATGATCATATTAATGACATAACTTCACGTGCCCTTAAAATGTTAGGATTTATCCAGAGAAATTCAAAGGACTTTTCAGTTTTTACGTTTAAAATATTATACTGTTCACTAGTGCGATCAATTATAGAATACTGCTGTATTATATGGTGTCCTTTTTATAATACCCAGAAAACTCAATTAGAAAAAGTTCAAAACAGATTTTTAAGGATATGTGGTTATAATGGGTTTAAGACGTGGAGATTATAATTACAGTTATATTCTTAATCAACTTAAAATGAACAAATTAGAGACAAGTAGAACTAAATTCGAATTATATTTTTTACATAAGATTCTAAATGGATTTATTAATTGCCCTGAAATTTTGGGTTTAATCTCATTTAATATACCTATGCGAAGAACCCGTAATTCTGACCTGTTTTTTTGTAGATTTCCATTCTACTAATTATGGAGTTAATGAAGTTATTTCTAGGATGTTACGTAAGGCGAACAATTACCAAACAGATTTAGAATTATTTAATACTTCAACTGCATCATTTAAAAAACATGTTAAAAAACTGTGTAGCTTATATATCTTACTGTATTTTATGCATATTGTACACAAACTGAAAAAGGGTTTAGCCCGTCAATAAATAAATAAATATTAATATCTAATTAGATTACAGTCCTAATAAGGAAAAAGAAAACTCAGCAGTATTATTTCTACTTCAATTATAAACTTTGTACTGAGAAACGTGTTTTAGTTTTTGAAATTAAGAAGTAAACAATAGTATGGGTAAGTGGAAACAATATACCTCTATTCTATCAAATTCTATTATGAATCAGCTGACATTTTAAATTTCCTGGAGATGTCAATGTCACAGAACAAATAACAATTGTTTTCTGTCCTATGTCAATGTGATATGGAAGGTTATAACACGACAACGTTGTAAATATTTTGACTCATGCGCAAAGTAGAGAGCACCACTGTGTCTTTAGCCGCTCCTCAATATGTTTACCCCTTCTACCTTTACATTCCCTCTTTTGTCTTATTGCTCGATGTCTCGAACAAAACTAGTAACCCCATCTACATGTTGAAGGAGTAAGTTTTGGAGATGATTCGCTTTTATATTGAAAGATTATACTAAACGTGGTTGAATGATACAATAAAACAGTAAATAACAAAATATGGAGTTACACCACTTTTACAATGAACGACACATATATATATATATATATATATATAATATATATATATATATATATATATATATATATATATATATGTAATTAACATTAATATAATTATATATGTATTAATATTATCATATATAATTATTTTTAAATTTATACCATATTATTATAGTTCTAATCCCCTTGTTATAATTGTGCTTTTAATTATACATAAATATAAAATTTTCTAAAGTAAAAATATTTTAAAAAATGTACCCTATTGTTACTACCTAGTTACTACTAATATATATATATATATATATATATATATATATATATATATATATATATATATATATATCGATACATTTTTGGCAAAGTAACGTAAGTGACATTTTTGGCGAAAATCATGTTTTTCAATTAAACTAACACTATTATTGTTAAAAAGGTACTGCCAAAGTGTAGTAAGCGTAGAATTACTTTAAACCTTTTTTAGAACAAGTAGGACAAGTTTTTTCAGTCATAATTTAAATAATTTTAACCAGGTTGAATTAAAAAATTGTTTTTTCTACAAATCGTGTTTGGTGACTTACGTTACTTTGCCAAAAATGTATCGATATATATATATATATATATATATATATAATATATATATATATATATATATATATATATATATATATATATATATATATGTATATATATATTATATGATTTCAAAAACTTTGTGGTATTTTTATTATATTGGCGATGTCAAACGAAAGAGACGGCACGGTGCGGTAAAAATTGTGCGCGTAGGATAAATAACAAAACACAAACACATAACATTTTGTATTTAGTTATACACACATAACATAGTTATAAACATTTTAAATACTATTAAATAAAGCAGAATATAAGGTAACAAAATGTTAAAAAGTAAATAGTATTTTTCTTCACGGCAATGCAGTAATTATCGATCGGAAGGAATAACTATGCACTTTTTTCTCCATGACAAAAATCTACAAGATCGTTGGGCACAGGAATTAAAAATTGGAAAATCGATATCAAGTGATATGATGGTGTGTTCATATTTTTTATCAACAGATTTTTTTTCAAGTAAATTATCTGAACAGAATTGCAACATTTATTATATATAATGTGCCTACCTAACCTAATCAAATATATAAACTAACATAGATCTTAATTAAAATTTCTATTACAACTGCAGCAGGGCAAAAGAAACTTTCAAAGAAAGTTGATATTCCCTCTCAATGCCTCAAAGGAAAACACGAAAGAAAAATCAATGAGGAACTGGTCAATGCTAGACTAATGCGTAATAAAACACACGCACATTCCTCCCTAGTGGGCTTTTCAAGTGCATTTTACCACCCACTCGTCTATTAACACATCCACAGTGATTTCATGTGGGGCACCATTTAAATTAGTCGTTTGCAGACACAAACCGACTAATTTGTTATTATATTTGCCACACAACACAATGTGGCCAGCCTTTAACAAAGCCTCGCCTTCTTTTAAATGTCTTGTTGTGTCTCATATATATTTCAAAATATGGAGCAGACTAACTTCAATTTTTTTATTTGCCATTGCGTTAACAAAAAAAATAAATGGCAGATAATAAATACGAATAATTTTTAGACACAACAATCATTCACCTACAAAGATTATGGTAGCTCTGTTTTGTTTTCGTACGTGTGATCAGCTGATCATCAGTCAAAGCGCCCCCTATAGTTTGTTGACATCGTCAATTAGCTTACTATATATTTCTGAAGATAAAGTTGTAAAATTTAGTTAAAAAATATTTTGTACACTGGCCTGTAAACTTTGCAAATGTAACAGGAAACATCTACTACCTGACAGAAACGAAAATAGACTAAAGTACAGTTACATCTAGAATTATAAACTGAGAAAAGGACAAAAAAGAGTAAGTCCAATTCTTAGAAAAAAATAACAATAAAGTAAACACTAAAAATAAAATAAATAAATTTGTCATGAATAGGTCAGAAACAGGCATAAAATGTTTGAATAGATCTGTATTGCGGCTGAACTTGTCACACATAGGATAATGCATTAAGTGAATTATGTTAAGTATTCAAATGTGTCTGCATTTCATTATTGAAAGGGAATATGAAGGAAAATTAATAATTGAAATGAAAGTTGCACAGATAAAACTAAACAAATTTATTTTCAAAATATAAAACTGGTTTATATTATAGTTTTAGTACAAAAAATTAGACATAAAGGGTTATGTACTGAAAAATAAAAAAACATTACTCATTGTCACTACCTTCACTATCAGAATAAGCACATAGTGATGAAAGTCCTCCTACAGTAGATTGTTGGGGAGGGTTATTATTCTTATTTTTATCTAGTTCTTGTGGACTTTGATTAATTTTATTGGTTTTGACTAAGCCTATTAATGTTTTTTTCTTTGGTGCTGGTTTCAAATTCACTTCACTTTTAGCCCAACTTGAACTTGGATTTTGATTAGAAATTGGATTTGCTGGTTCATCATTACTTTTAGTTGCTTTTGCCAGTGGTTGTTCCTCTTCAATTATTTCTTCTTCTACTACTAGTTTCCTCTTAGAAGTGGATGAAAATTTGACAGATTTAATATATTCTTCATCTAACTGTTGCATCCTCTCCTCTCTTTCTTTTTCACTAATGCTAGTATCATATGCTGATAACATTGTATCATAATCTACAACTTGCTGTCTCTTGTTTAAATCTTTTAACTCTTCTAGTGATTCCAGTAACTCTATTTCATTTTTAGATTGTTGTGTACGATTTTCTAAAAGTTTCATGGGATTATTAGCTTCCTCTTCTTTTGCTTCCTCCTCTTCCCTTAAAGCCTGCTCCTCTGCCAACTTCAATGCCATGAAATTTCTAGTTGCACCAGCTTCTATTTCATAATCAGTATTTTTGGGATCAGTTTTGAAAGATATTTCTTGCAAACATCTAGTACACTTAATATAAAATCTATATATTCTAATGCCTAGATAATCTTGATTCTCAACGTCTTCTTTTCTTGCATTAAACTTTTTTCCTTTATAGATGTATTCTCCACAAGTAGCACATCTCATATTAAATGGGGCCATTAGTCTCACTGTGTACTGCCTATTTTTTGGTAATTTCATACGAGGGATCTTCGAAGGATCGAAGTCCGGTGGGTAATATTTATTTAAAACTTTACGTTCAGACATTTTTAATGTTAAAAATTAATTACAAATTACAACTACAAATATAACCTCTGAAACTACAAATACAAATAGAAATGTCAAAAATTAAAATTACTTAATGTTGTCCTTTATCTTTTTGGCTATACAGTACATACACTGAGATTTGCTTAAAATACATGACATAGGCGGAGAACTTATTAAATTAAAAGGGGTTCAGTTTAGTTAAGATTTTAATCAAATGGGATATATCATCATCATCATCAGTGGCGTTACAGCTCTTTATGAGCCAAAGCCTTCTTCAGAACAATCCTCCATTCGCCACTGTCTCTGGCAACTCTTCTCCATGCTATGGGATTAAATCACAAGATTAAAACAAATTTATATTTATAGAGATACTATTAAAGTAAACAAAACAACCAGAACTTTCAAAATCACAGGTTACAAAATTAAAAGAGAAAGATTTGATTCGACAAAAACACTTGTAAGCAAAGAAATGAAGCACTAAACCTACTGTTACGATAAATATGACTCATAAAACTGTAAACGTATTATTTCTAATTCTATTCTATTCTAGTAAGTTCGCCGCTCAGCTGAAAAACCTGTTTGCCTTCCTTCCTTTTCGAGAGGGTCGCGGTCCGAATTTGAAGGGATCCTCGATTAACGGTATTTTATATTTAAAGTGGGAATTTTGTTGAAAACAGTTAGTTCTAGTTTTGAATATTGAGTTTAAATTGTAAGATTCTCTAATGCAACAACATTTTTCCATTAGTGTTATTCTGCAAATTCTTCTTCAAAAAAATTTACTAGCAGTCACGTGTCAAATTTTTACATTATTTACACAACCCAGGAACAGAAAAGTAAATTATGAAAATAGACCAGTCTGATTAATAATAATAAATAAAAAAGTGAGCGAATAAAAGTTTTTTGTGTGATGTTATTTATCCGTTTGCATTATTGCATTTTAAAACAATTAAAAAATTGTATTAGCACGTGTTTTCTTTTTATTTATGTTTGAGTGAAATTATGCTAGGCAGAAGACACTCCAAACTATTGTCAGTTTGCAGAAAATATAGTGTTTTTGCTAAAAGCTTAGCAATTTTACGTGTGGTTGAATTATTTTCTCTTTAACCAATGTATTTTTTCTACAGTTCTTTACAATTAGGAATATTATGGATATGTTCCAATAGCTTTATGTATTTTTGTAGTTACTATTAAATTAATTGTATGACGCATAACGTTTATGCTGTGGCTTTGTATATCATATTTGTTGTCAATTACGTTGATTTCCAGTGGATCCTGTTCAATTGGTACTTCTTCTAAATTTAGGCCAGGAATTCCATTCCTTTTGGATACTCCTCAAAATTCGAGGCTTCCTTAATTCCTTCTCGAATTTCATTAATTCCGAACATCTCAAAATTTTAATACTATGTTTATGAAAATGTTTAAGGACTATGTCGTTTGCAAACCTTAAGTTGTTCAGAAACTCTCCATTTATGTCGACTCTAATATTTTCCCAATTATTTTTTCTCATGGCACTATTTAATAAAGCGGTAAATAGTTTAGGAGAGTTATTGTCTTTTTGTCTAATACCCTTATCCAAGGGAAATGTGTTTGTCTCGCCATGGTTTTCGGTTCAGCTGTTGTAAAAACAATTTCGTTACATCTGTGGAACTTCTTATTGATTTATATTCTGTCAAACAGATAGAACTTTTTTGCTTTTTATTTTTTTCTCGAGCAGTACTGGGAAAGTGAAAATTGTCGGGATCATCATTTGAAAAACTCTGAAATGGAAATGTGTCATCATCCGTATTAATTAAATGTAGCATAATATTTTATCTGTAAAAATAAAAATGATACGTACATAGGTATTGCATATTGCTTATATAAGGTGTTTGCCTTAAAAATCCCAAATTATATAGCACATTAGACTTTTTAAAAGAATGATTGAATGTCACCATTGAACACTGAAGGGCGTCAAAAGACTAAGGTGCCTTCTCCATTACTGAAGATTGGCTATATATATATATATATATATATATATATATATATATATATAATATATATATATATATATATATATATTATATATATATATATATATATATATATGTATATATGTATATATATATATATATATATATATATATATATATATATATATATATATATGTATATATGTATATAAGGTTCTTGAACTCCTAAGTGGAGCATGGAGCTTCAGTGAAAACGCGCGATCGGGTTCTATTTTGCGCTAAGGCCTTCACCTCATTCCAAGACTTTCATTGATTTTCAAACCTATTTTATTGGCTTCAGTGGAAAGTGTTTCCAATTGGTAAGTCAGATCTTGGAACCTATGACCTAATAGGCAGATATCGTCCGCTTATTCTAGATCGCTTAGGCGTGTGATTAACGTCCATTGTATCCCTCTTGTGTCGGAGTCTAGTTTGGAGAGAACATAGTCTATAGCTATGTTAAAAAGAAACGGAGAAAGCACGCATCCCTGTCCAACTCCAGTAAGTACGTCGAATTCGTCACTGTTGATCCCATTGTGTGTCACGCTGCATTTCGCATCAGTATATAGTGACTTTATAATAGAAATTATTTTTTGCGGGATGTTTCTTAGCTCTAAAATTTTCCATATAGCAGCGTGAGACAAGCTATCAAAGGCACGTTCAAAATCAACAAAAACATGTATAGGGGTGTGTTCAATTCAACCGATTTTTCCATTATTACCCTCACAGTAATAATGTGGTCTATGCAGGAGGATTCTGGTCTAAAGCCTGCTTGATTAGCTCGAAACTCAACCTTATTTGTTAATCTTTTTAGTATGATGGTCGTGAACATTTTATTTATGACAGTAAGCAAGGTTATTCCTCTCCAATTTTTGCACAGTGTGAGGTTGCCTTTTTTTGGAAGTTTGATAATGTTACCTTTTCTCCAGCCCACTGGAATGTGGTTTGTTTCCCACACCTTTCGGATTATGGGGAGCAAAAGTTCAGCAGTTAGATGCGGATCAGCTTTAAGTATTTCAGCAGCAATGTTATCGATTCCCGGTGACTTGTTGTTTCTCAGAGATTTGATAGTTGTTGTGTTGTTAGCTTAGATTAAGATATAGGCGCCGGAGTTAGGCAACACAGATGACAGGGATGTCATGTGAACGTAGCCGAAGCTCGGGCAAGCATGTATGTTTGAGGGTTGAGAATAAACTGATGTTGTGAAGTAACGATTATTATTTGTAACCCCTCTTTGATAACACGACATGGTGGCAGCTGGTGCTTTGTTTTGTTAACATTAAACAAGCAAAGAGTGGTCGAACGTGACAACAGTGCAAATCTTATGCATAACCTATAAATCAGAGGGGACCTAAAATCCTTAAAATGGATGCACCTATCCAAATAAATAAAGAAGTGTTTGCGAACATTTCGGCTCCAAGCGAATTTGATTTTACACAGCCCCAGACATGGCCCCAATGGAAGAAAAGAGTAGAGAGATATATGTCTGTAAGTGGATTTGGACAAAAATCTGACAAGGATAAATTAGACCTACTGTTGTATTTAATGGGAAATGAAGCAGAAGATATTTTACTTCAAAATCAACCAGTGGAGAATGCATCCTTTCAAGATGTAATGCAGATTTTCGACAATCATTTTATTCCCCGAAGAAATACAATCTTTGAGAGATTTCAATTTAATTCAAGGGTACAAAGGCCAGGAGAACCTGTGGGAAACTTTATTTCAAGTCTACATACTCTTGCAGAGCACTGTAGCTATGGAGCTCTTAAAGATGAGTTAATTCGTGACAGGATAGTTATCGGAATAGCTGATAAAAAGGTGAGCGAAAGAATGCAACTAAATGATGGTTTGACACTAGAGAAGGCAATACAAATAGCACGCCAAGCTGAACTTCAAGATAGTCAAAATAGAATTATGAGACAGGAGCAGTCAGTTAGTGCAGTTAAACAGGACTACAGGGAGCGTAGTGATAAAAGACATCAAGGTAAGAGTTTTGCTAAACAAGAAACAACTCATGAGAAAGTTAAGGAAGGTTACAGATGTGGATACTGTGGCATACCTACATGTAAAAATAGGGAGAAATGTCCAGCCAAGTTCTCTGAATGCAGATCTTGTTCACGTAGAGGTCATTGGAGTGTGATGTGCAGGAAGAAAGCTGTCAGAGCTGTTAAGTGTTCAAGGTCCACCAGTAGCAGTAGTACAGATGACGAAGGAAGGGATTCAGTAAATCAAGTGGTACATACAGATTCCTTTATTGGCCAAGTGTACCTAGACAAGAAGGATCGTTGGTATGTAGACATCTTATTGGATGACAAATTTAAGGTACCTTTTTTTGTGGATACAGGAGCAGATGTTAACTGCTTTCCCTATGAAAAATTACCTCCAGAATATGTGGGTAAAATTGTGGCATGTGATGCAATTGGTGCAGCGGACGATCATAAATTGGACACAGTGGGTAAGCTACATATAAAATTTACTTATGACGGTTTTACAAATGATGAAACAATATATTGTATTAGGAAGTTGAGACAACCTATATTAAGCAGAGAATCAATCATTAAGTTTAATGTTCTAAATTTTTCTAATTGTAAGCTTAAACAGGTAAATCAAATCAGTTGCAGTGTTGTTCATTGTAATCAATCTGAGAGTACTAATATGTTTTCAAAATTTAATTTAGAGTCTGTTGCTAAAACATTTCCTGGTATTTTTAGTGATATAGGTGAATTTAAAATGGAAATGTCAATTAGAATTAAGCCAGATGCTAAACCTTATGTACAGAGCGTTCCCAGAACTGTTCCTTTACCTCTGTTACCAAAATTAAGAATTGAAATTGATAGATTGCTAAAATTAGGGATAATTGAACCCATTGAAGATCCTACTTCTTGGGTCAGCCCAATTGTTTGTGTGGACAAGGGAGATTGTGTACGGCTTTGTGGTGACTATACTAAACTTAATGAAAACGTGTTACGGTCACATTTTCCTCTCGGGAAAATATCTCATACACTAGCACAGTTGAAAGGGTCTAAATTCTTCTCAAAATTGGATACCACAAGTGGGTTTTACCAAATAAAATTGAATAAGGAAAGTCAGTTGTTAACAACTTTTATAACACCTTTTGGCAGATTTTTCTTTAAAAGGCTTCCATTTGGTATATCTTGTGCCCCAGAGTATTTTACTATGAGATTTTCAAAAATCTTAACTGGCATTGAAGGCTGTGTTGTCCATATAGATGACATTCTTATTCATGCAAGGACAATAGAGGATCATGACAATATTTTGAACACAGTCCTAACAAAACTTCATAAGGAAGGTATTACACTAAATAAAAACAAATGCTCTATAGCAACAAAAACAGCTAAATACTTGGGTCATATGGTCTCTGAGCAAGGGATATTAATTGATCCAGATAGGGTTAAAGCTATCCGTGATTTTCCTGAACCAAAAAATAAGACTGAGCTGTCAAGATGGCTGGGTATGATTAATTTTGCTGCAAAATACATTCATAATAAATCTGAGATTCTTGAACCATTAACACACTTACTAAAAAAAAATATTAACTTTTTGTGGGGTCCAGCACAAGATAAAGCTTTCAGCACTTTAAAACAAAAGTTAGAGAGCCCTCCAAATCTAGCGTTTTTTGATGCTAATAAAACCATAATTGTTAGTGCAGACTCAAGTTGTTTTGGTATAGGTGCATGTCTATTTCAAGAAAATGTAGATCATACTCGGGAAATAGTGGCTTTTACATCTAGGCTTCTGAACTCAGCTGAAACACGATACGCTCAGATTGAGAAAGAAGCTCTTGCACTTACATGGGCAGCAGAATATTTTTATGATTTTATTTCAGGAGTTCCTAACCTAATTTTTGAAACAGACCATAAACCTTTACTACAAATTCTGCAAACTAAAAATTTAGATGAGTTAACGCCACGTTTGCAAAGATTTCGAATGCGTTTAATGCGATACAAGTATACTGTAATCTACACGCCGGGAAAAAATTTAATTGTAGCAGATACTTTAAGTCGGGCCCCTTTACAAACAGATACGTTAGCTAATAAAGAACTAACTGCTGAAACTGCAGCATATGTGCAGTCAATTATTCATAATTTACCAATTAAAGATTATTTTTTGAATTTAATAAAAACAGAACAAGAAAATGAATATATTTGTAAAAAACTAAAAGAATATTCTTTGTCTTCTTGGCCTGAAAGATCTAAATTGCCATTTGAATTGTTGCCATACTATCAATATAGATATGAAATTTCCTATTCGGAACAATTACTTTTAAAAGGGTCTCGCATAATCATTCCTAAGAGTCTTCAACTCAAGGTGTTGGAATTTATTCATACAGGCCATATGGGAATTGTAAAATGTCGAGATCGTGCCAAACAGAGCGTTTGGTGGCTGGGTTTGTCATCCCAGATTAATAACCTTGTCACACATTGTCCCCAATGTGTTGAACACAGAGTAAATCATAGAGAAACATTTCATAAAGACAATACTGTACAAAGGCCGTGGCAAAAACTGGGGGTTGATTTGTTTAAATGTTATGATAAGTGGTATTTGATTGCCACTGACTACTTTTCACATTGGTTTGAAATTTTTACTTTAACCAATATGACAGAAGATGCCATTATTCCTAAGCTTAAAGATATTTTCTCTCGTTATGGTATCCCAGAGGAAGTTAGATCCGACTGTGGTACTCAATTTTCATCAAAATTTATAAAGTTTTCAAAAGAATATAATTTTGTTCATACGACGAGCAGTCCGCACTGGCCTCAGAGCAACGGTGGAGTGGAACGCACTGTACAAATTGCAAAAAGATTAATTCAGAAAAATAAAAAAGAGGACCTAAGTTTGGCATTGTTAGCATATAGATGTACACCCCTAGAATGTGGTGTTTCACCTTCTGAATTATTAATGAATAGAAAATTAAGATCTAACTTACCCCAGCTTCCAAGCTTATTAAACTTTTCAAAAGAACCAAACACTAAAAATAAAAAGAATGAAATAAAGGATAAACAAGTGAAAAACTACAATAAGCGACACAATGCCAAGGATTTAGATCCTCTTAAGGTTGGTGATTCTGTGTGGGTGGTTGATATCAGGAAATATGGGCGAGTTGTTGCGATCTGTCAGGAACCCAGGTCCTATATAATTGAAACTGAAACCGGGAAATTTAGAAGAAATAGATGGCATTTGATTCATGCACCCTACTGTTTCCCTGTATTGAGCACCCAACCAGAATCCTCAAATGATTATGTTCCGCCAATTTCTAGTAGCACAAAGCTAATGCCTTGCTCTAATCAAAGCAATGGTGACATACAGGGTAAAATAATGGAGGAAAGTAGTAGGGGGGAACCCAGTGTATTTCAGGACAAAATCGAACAAAGTGGAAATCATGTTTTACCTCCATCGGGTCAGGATAAAAGCGATAGTGTATCGGACTTTGAGTGCGTAAAGCCTAGCAGGCCAAAAAGACTTGTGAAGAAACCGGTTCATTTAACAGATTATGTTTGTAGTAGTTTAAGTTAGTTTAGGTATAAGATCATTAATGACACAGGGATCTTTTATAAAAAAAAGGAGATGTGTTGTTAGCTTAGATTAAGATATAGGCGCCGGAGTTAGGCAACACAGATGACAGGGATGTCATGTGAACGTAGCCGAAGCTCGGGCAAGCATGTATGTTTGAGGGTTGAGAATAAACTGATGTTGTGAAGTAACGATTATTATTTGTAACCCCTCTTTGATAACACGACAGTTGTTATTATCTCCGTTTTGGAAGAGGCCTCGCAAGAAATAGGCAAGTCTATATTCTGCGGGTTTTCGACAATTCATCTGCGTTATCTCTGGGAATACCTAGCATCTCCTGAAAATGCCCTTTCCATCTCTTTACTTGGTCATCTGGTTGAAGGTTGGTTATAACTACAGCAAATTGCTCTCTATCTTGAGCTGTTCTTAGTATCGAATGTGTGTCCATACCTGTCCAGTCTCTTACATTCTTCAACCAGGAGCATTTTCTTCTTCCTGGACCTCCTCTTCCTTCCACTTTCCCTTCCATTATAAGTCGTAGGAAGTTGTATTTTTCTCCTCTGTAAATATGTCCTAGATAACTCGTTTTTCTGTTTTTTACAATATTTAGTTCTCTCTCAGTACCCATTCTTCTTAGCACCTCGTTGTTGGTCACGTGCTCTGTCCAAGAGATCTTCAGCATCCTTCGAAAAACCTACATCTCAAAGGCTTCTATACGCCTCATACTTGTAATTCTGAGAGTCCATGTTTTCACTCCGTATAGCAATATGGAATAAATAAACATTTTTACAAATTGGTATCGGATAGCCAACAATAAGTAGAGTTTATTAGTAATGTTTTTCATTCGTTGAAATGCGGATCTAGCATATTCTATACGAGCACGTATTTCGACCACGTGGTCAAGATCGTTTGTTATCCATCAACCAAGATACTGGAATCTTTGTACTGGTTCTATATGTTTGTTATAGATACGAATATTAATGTCGACATTTGGTGCACGTGTAACAGCCATTACTTTTGTTTTATTTGTGTTTATATTTAGTCCCAAGCTATCTCCCTCTCTGGTTCTGACATTCAAAAGTCGTTGTAAACCCTCAGCACTGTTCGCAATAATGACGGTGTCGTCTGCGTATCTTTCTTAAGTTGTTTACGTATTCTCCGTTGATTTTTATTCCTTCTTCAACATTTTCGAGGGCATTTTGAAAGATCTTTTCGGAATATATATTAAATAACACTGGAGAAAGTACACAGCCCTGACGAACTCCTCTTTTTATTGGCAATTCTGCTGTCAGACGATTGTCTATTTTGATAGACGCCATTTGATCCCAATATAGTTTTTTAATAAGTGCTACAGTGTTATGGTCTATACCATGTTGTGTTAAGGTTTCTATGAGTTCTGTGTGTTATACTCGATCAAACGCTTTTTCGTAGTCGATAAAACAGAGGAACACGTCTTTTCGCTTATCTCGGCATTTTTGTAGTAATATCTGAAGGCCAAATAATGCCTCCCTTGTACCAAGCCCCATACGAAATCCAAATTGATTGTCGCTTAGGTTTATTTTGCATTCTCTGTATATTCGTTGATGACCTATCTTTCTCAAATATTTTTAAATTTTATTTAAAATTACAGGAACATTTGTTTATGTTAAAATATTCAGATTGTATATAAAATTTATCTTACTGTGGAAAACATTGCCAGAAAATGTGAAAATTAATTTTAATTTAATCAGTATTTTAAATTTGTTTAAAATTTTAATATAATTTAATATAAAAATTTACAGTTGAAATCTTGATTGATTAGAGCTAAAGTTGATTTATAATAATTAAATCATTAATATGTTCAGATATTAAGATAAACTTTATAGTATAGCGAAACGCAGAGCCAAGTAAATTTAAATGCAATGAGATAGAAATTCGCTAGTCATTTTCCCGTCAAAAGAATAAAAATAATGATAAAGATAATTATACACGTACTGTCCATGGAGTCATAAAAGTAAGCAAATTAAGAACAATTTTTTGGTTATCACATGATCAAATTACTTTAACAAAATATAATTTCATAACAATTGAACTTACTACTGATAATATGGAATAAAGATCTGCAAGGTATATTTCTTTTTTTACTTCAGATTCTCCGCCTATGGTTATCTTCTATCAACGTTACTATCTTCTCACCAGTTTTAACAGATAATTTGCTGTCAGAAACAATGACAGAACACTGGTTGTAATGTCAATATTATATGAATCATCAATATTTTTTATTTTTTCTTTAGAAAATGATAAGTTTCAATACTTCATTAGAAATAAATAATGTCTGATATTAATTTAAATGTATGTAATATGCATTTTCTTAATAATACATTTGAATTCATAGTCTGAGGTTATTTTTGTTTAATTTTATTAATATTTCTAGAACTACAACAGTGATACAGAGAGCTCAGAAGATGAAATAGAACCAAAATTAAAATATGTGAGGCTGTCTAATGATGTACAAAACATATTATTGGCCTCCTCGGCAACATATATAGCAGTACACCCAAAAGTATGATCTTCTACTACCTTCATTTTGTGCCTATAATAAATTCCCATATTCAGCATAATATGATTTTTCAGTTTAAATTAGTGCACAGTTTTTATTCTAAATGATTATTAAACGATTTAGTTCACATTTTACTTGTATTGTACTTCTTTTTTCTTTTAGTTTATTTGTTTGGGATCACATTGGGGTGTGATCCATATCTTAGATCACCAAGGTAACAGTATACAGGGAAAGGAATTGAAGGCACATACAGTTAGTGTTAATCAGATATCTATAGATTCCAATGGAGAGTTTGTTGCAACTTGTTCAGATGATGGCAAAGTATTCATCCATAGTTTATTCTCAAAGGAGAATGATGTTCAACTCAATCTTGGAAGGCTCTTGAAAACAGTGGCTCTAGATCCTCTTTATTTTAAGTTTGGAATTAATAAGAGGTTTATTACAGGCAAGTAAATGACATAATGACTTGTATAAAATCTACAATGTAAGTAGGTATATTTATTTTCAAGCATCTTTGTTTTTGAAATTGCAAACTGTCAGAAAGCTTAAAAAAACACAAGAACTCACTTACAAAATATTTAAGTATAGACACAATATAATTGTAAATTGTTATATTGTTAATACTAAATAGTATGATAGAGGATTAGCTAGTTGTGTACCTAGTAGCTGTGTGGTAGAAATGAATTTAGAAAGTTGTTTGTGAACATGTTTGAAAGAGCTCTAAACCTGTAAAATTTCTTATGATTACTATATCTATATGCTTTACATTTTTATTAACAAATAGTATGCTAATGTATAGTTCAGACAACCATTTTGTTCGAGCTTAAGAATAGTTAGATCAATTCTTATTCCTTATTTACTTGAATGTCATCAGGTTTCCTTGTATGCCCTGAGTAAAAACAAGGTGGTGTCCTAATTTTATTTGTTTATCTTATATATTTTTTTTGTTCCTTGATGGATCTTTTATTTACAACCATAGTCGCTGCAAGTGGTTATTAGGGGAGTTTCTCCAGTTTGTAGTTTTAGCTACATACTAACATTCATTGCAGTTTTGGGCTTTACACAAAATGGCTCCCAAAGTTTGAGACTTCATAAAAAAATGATACCCAGAGTGTGGCAGATTACACAAAATACTGACCAACATGATCAGCTCATGACATCTAACAACCACAGAGAGTTGAAAGTAACAGTATCACATATTAAGCATAATTAAAATCACATGAAAAATTGCAATAAAAGGGGTTTTTTCAAATGTTTTATTTAGTTTATAAGTATGCAACTTACCAAATTGAATAGATTATTATCAGTTGTAACAATAAATGGACCTGAATGGGAAAGTGAGGTTGCCCAGAAGTTCTTCTTCTTCATGTACCATGTCCTTTCAGAACGTTGGTTACCATCATAGCTATCTTAATTTTATTCACTGCCACCCTAAATAGCATGCTTGTATAAACACCATACCAATCTCGTAAGTTCTTCAACCATGAGGTTCTTCTTTGTCCTGGACTGCGTTTCCTTGCATGATATTTTGTAGCAACCTATATTTGGGACCACTCATTACATGTCCGAAATATTCCAGCTTTCTCTGCTTGATACTTTTTATGATCTCAGTAGTCTTGCTGAGACGTTCTAGTATTGTGGAGTTTCGAATCTTCTCCACCCAGGAAACTTTTAAAATTCTTCTATAGCACCACATTTCGAAAGCCTCAAGGCGATTTAGATCGATTTTATTCACAGTCCAGGACTCGACACCATAAAGTAAGACCAAGAATACATAGCAGCGAAGTAGGCGGATTCTCAATGCCAATTTTAGGTCTCTGTTACATAACACCTTGGACATCCTTCTAAAAGCAGCTCTAGCCTGCTCTATCCTAGATATAATTTTGCCGTGACTTTCTGTGTTACAATTTAATTGCTGTCCAAGGTAAACGATTTTATCAACTTGCTCACGTTTGGTATTATTTACATTTGTATAGACGGTTTTATATGCTGTTGTTTACTTATTACGAGTATTTTGGTTTTCCGTATGTTAAGATCCATACCTGCCTCCCTACAACTCTCAACTTGACTAGAAGCTAGGAGTACTGTATCGTCCGCATATCGCAAATTATTGATCTTCTTGTTTTTCAGAAAGTGCTTTTCTGAAAATTCTTTCGGAGTAAACGTTAAAACCAGGGGTGACAAGAGGCATCCCTGCCGTACTCCTCTTTTAATATTGAGAGCCTGTGATTCCACACCATCTACTAAAACTGATGTTGTTTGATTCCAATATAAATTTGCAATTATTCAAACATCTCTGCCGTCCAAGCCAATGTCTTTTAGAGCTTCGATCAATATAGAGTGCTTAACACGATGAAATGCCTTTTGGAAGTCAATAAAACAACAGTTTATGTCTACAGATATATCACGACATCTTTGAGCAAGTACATTCATTCCAAACAGTGCATCTCTCATTCCAAACCTGTTACGGAAACCAAACTGAGTGTCATCCAGGTATTCCTCGCATTTATTGTAGATACGACCACATATTACCTTCAGAAAAATGTTCAATAGGTGGTTTAACAAACTGATGGTTCTATAATCAGCACAGGTTTTTGCTGTTTTCTTCTTAGGTAGAGCTATAAACAGTGAATTAGACCAACCATTAGGTAGTTGTCCTCTGGTATAAATGGTATTGAAAAACGAAGTTATACTCTCTAAAACATTGCTATCATTTATAAGCTTATATATTTCAGTTGGAATTTCATCAGGATCAGTCGCTCTACCATCTTTTGATGATTGTATGGCTTTTATAACCTCAGAGCGTGTTATTAGGGGTCCGTCGCAGTTAGTAATATCGGGAGGTGAACTACTCCTATCGTGTCCGAATAGGTTCGTGACGTAATTTTCCCATTCGTTAAGTTTGTCCTCTACTTCAAATAGTACTTTACCATTTTCATCATGTAGCAATGCATTTTGTTTCTTATTGAAGATACCAGCCGCTTCTTTGACTTTTTTATACATGTTAAATGTGTCATATCTTTTTCAAGTTCTTCAATGTCATGACACTGTTTGGCTAGATGTTGACTCTTTGCTTCTAGTATTTTACCTCGAATTTCTTTTTGTATGCTCTTGTAAAGTGTTTCGTTGTTTTTTGCTAGTCGCCGTTGTTCCATCAAATCCAATATGTCATCCGTCATCCAAGCCTGCTTTTTTAGTTTTGACCTGCCTTGTAAATTTCTCACACAGATTTCTTTTACTGTTGTTTTACGATTTTATTTAAGCCCTCATCGACGTTTTCACCAATATTTTCCCAAATTAAATTTTTGTTCAGTTGTCTTTGAACTGATTCCTTACCTTTCTCGTCTTGTAATTGGGCTGTATCAATATTTTTGCGAGACTTCTTTTGATCACCTTTTTTAATTTTAATTGGGATACAGCTACTATGGGATTGTGATCGGATCCAATGTCAGCACCTGGATAAGTTTTAACTGATTTGATGCAGTTTCTAAATCGATTTTTTATTAGAATAAAGTCGATTTGGTTCCTAATAATTTTGTCCTCTGATTCTGCATTTGACTTCCAGGTGTAGAGTCTTCTCGATGGTAGTTTAAAGTGGGTATTCGATATAATGAAATCGGGTTCTGGACAGAACTGGACAAGTCGATTTCCACGTTCGTTTATGTTTCCCAGGCCATAATCCCCCACAATGTTCAAACAGCGTCCTTTGCGACTTTAGCGTTAAAATCTCCGAGGACTATGGTGTTTTCTGCTGCTTTGACAAGATTTAGAGCATCAGTAAGATCTTTGTAGAATGCTTCTAATTTATCTTCATCACTGGATGATGTTGGGGCATAGACCTGAATTACGTTGGTAATGAACGGCTTTGAACTAAATTTTACTAGCACTACTCTATCAGATATGGGGATATAAGTTAATACTGATTGAGCTAAGTGTTTTACTACTACGATTGCAACTCCATTATAGTGATTGGCATCGGTATTTCCGGCATGGTACACTTGATATCCATCTACGTCACATACTCCTGATCCCGGCCATCGCATTTCACTTATTCCGAGGATGCTGATTTGCATTCTTTTCATTTCTTTTATGGCATTATATATTTTACCTGACTCAAACATGCTTGTGACGTTCCTTGTGGCTATTTTGCAAGGATTTCGCATATTAACGACCTGAGAGGCCCTGCAGTCTTGAGATTGTCCTCTCTTGCCGGATCTTGGGTTCCGAGATCCATGATCAATAACGTTTTGACTTAAGTTATTTACAGCCATGATAGTTAAAACTAGGAGTTCCAAAAGGACTTTAATGCAGTAGTTCTCCTTTGCTTTCTGCATCCTTGCCGTTGACTAATTTGTAGTTTTATAGTTCTTCCGCCTTCGGAATCAATTTCTCAATTCCAGGACCAAAGAGTGCCCTACCCAGTGCCCAGAAGTTGGGTTGCATAAAAATTTACCCAAGGGGGAATTTTGATTCTGGAACTACAAGAGGAATGAAAAATTCCAGGTCCAAGTACTTTCACTTTGCAAACCAGCACTCAGGTGTTTTGAAGGACACAACATAATTAAAACAGGATGAAAAATTGCAATAAAAGGAGTTTTTTCAAATGTTTTATTTAGTTTATAAGTATGCAACTTACCAAATTGCATAGTTTATTATCACTTGTAACAATAAATGGATCTGAATGGGAAAGTGAGGTTGCCCAGAACTTGGGTTGAATAAAAATCTACCCAAGGTGGAAGTTTATTTCTGGAACTACAAAAGAAATAAAAAATTCCAGGTCCAAGTACTTTCTCTTTGCAAACCAGCACTCTGGTATTTTGAAGGACACAACAGTAAGCTTTTCGACACAGGTCTATATATGTAGAATGGAGGACATTGAAATAAAAAAAAAATTAAAATTGACATATATAAACTGATAAAATGAGAATCAGTCACACTTACCTTATATAGTCATTCTACTTTCCTTTCAGTATTATTTTGTTATTTCTCAAAAGATTATATTATATTATGACTAATTTGTAGTTTTATAGTTATTCCGTCTTCGGAATCAATTTCTCAATTCCAGGACAAAAGAGTGCCCTACCCAGTGCCCAGAAGTTGGTTTGCATAAAAATTTACCCAAGGGAGAATTTTGATTCTGGAACTACAAGAGGAATGAAAAATTCCAGGTCCAAGTACTTTCACTTTGCAAACCAGCACTCAGGTGTTTTGAAGGACACAACATAATTAAAACAGGATGAAAAATTGCAATAAAAGGAGTTTTTTCAAATGTTTTATTTAGTTTATAAGTATGCAACTTACCAAATTGCATAGTTTATTATCACTTGTAACAATAAATGGATCTGAATGGGAAAGTGAGGTTGCCCAGAACTTGGGTTGAATAAAAATCTACCCAAGGTGGAAGTTTATTTCTGGAACTACAAAAGAAATAAAAAATTCCAGGTCCAAGTACTTTCTCTTTGCAAACCAGCACTCTGGTATTTTGAAGGACACAACAGTAAGCTTTTCGACACAGGTCTATATATGTAGAATGGAGGACATTGAAATAAAAAAAAATTTAAAATTGACATATATAAACTGATAAAATGAGAATCAGTCACACTTACCTTATATAGTCATTCTACTTTCCTTTCAGTATTATTTTGTTATTTCTCAAAAGATTATATTATATTATGACTAATTTGTAGTTTTATAGTTATTCCGTCTTCGGAATCAATTTCTCAATTCCAGGACAAAAGAGTGCCCTACCCAGTGCCCAGAAGTTGGTTTGCATAAAAATTTACCCAAGGGAGAATTTTGATTCTGGAACTACAAGAGGAATGAAAAATTCCAGGTCCAAGTACTTTCACTTTGCAAACCAGCACTCAGGTGTTTTGAAGGACACAACATAATTAAAACAGGATAAAAAATTGCAATAAAAGGAGTTTTTTCAAATGTTTTATTTAGTTTATAAGTATGCAACTTACCAAATTGCATAGTTTATTATCACTTGTAACAATAAATGGATCTGAATGGGAAAGTGAGGTTGCCCAGAACTTGGGTTGCATAAAAATTTACCCAAGGTGGAAGTTTATTTCTGGAACTACAAAAGAAATGAAAAATTCCAGGTCCAAGTACTTTCTCTTTGCAAACCAGCACTCTGGTGTTTTGAAGGACACAACAGTAAGCTTTTCGACACAGGTCTATATATGTAGAATGGAGGACATTGAAATAAAAAAAAATTTAAAATTGACACATATAAACTGTAAGGAAAATAATAAGATTGGTTTAAGAAAGATACAAAAAATGACAAATATGGTAAGCCTCTCTTTAACCAATACATAGAAAAAAAAATGAGAATCAGTCACACTTACCTTATATAGTCATTCTACTTTCCTTTCAGTATTATTTTGTTATTTCTCAAAAGAAAGGAAGATTGTGAAAGAAATTAAACAATACAAATTTGTTATCAATCAGCTGTTTTTATTACTAGCTGTAACATAAATTTAACTGAACATAATCAGTTACATCTTACAAACAAATGTCTATTACAAATTAATAACTTTTTACATCTTTCATCATCATCAGTAGCCCGACAACCTTTTCTGGGTCCTGGCTTGTTCTAGGATTTTCCGCCATTCTGTTCTGTTCCTTACTTTGTTTTTCCAAGTGTTTTCAGATCTTGTTCCACTTGTTCCATGTATCTAAGTTTGGGTCTTCCCTTTGACCTTCTCCCTACTGGTGTTTGGCTCATTATATGTTTTGGTGTTTCAGTCTCCAACATCCGTTCAACATGGCCCATCCAGTGCAGACATCTGATCTTTATGGATGTTATGAGCTCGGATTCATTGTATGCTGTGTATAGTTCAAAGTTATATCTTCTGCGCCATATGTCATTTTCCTTTACCCCCTTATATATCTGTCTAAGGATTTTTCGTTCAAACATACCTAATAGGTTCTCATTGCTTTACTACAGTGTCCATTCCTCTGATCCGTATACAAGGACCGGTTTTATCAGGGTCTTGTATATTTTGCATTTGGTTTTTCTTGTGATGTTGTTAGATCTTAGATGTTTAATTAGTCCATTATATGTTTTATTAGCAATATGTATTCTTCTCTTAACTTTTTCACTGACATTGTTATCTGCGGTAACTTGTGAACCTACATATGTAAAATTTTTCACGCTTTCGATGTTATAGTCTCCTATTGTCAGATTCTGTAGGTTTCTTTGGCCTGTCGATTTACTGGCCTTCATTGTCATTGGATACCTCGTGAAGTCTGTGCTTACTTATAGTTGGTAGCTTTTGTTGCTCTTTTCCTATTTTTGCGTTGAGATCACCATAAATAATTTTTATGCCATTCTTTGGGCATGAATGGTATGCAGCTTCTAGTTCTTCATAGAATTTTTCTTTGACATCGTCTTACTTTTCCTCTGTAGGGGCATGCACATTTAAGATAATTGATAAGATGCTATAATTAATTTAATTATAAATTATATAAATTTTTATAACCAAACCATTGAAAAAATGAATTGAAGAGCGTGAGAGTTAATAAATCTCCTTGGAAGCGGCACTTGACAATTATTAACAAACTCTTGAGGTAAAAAGATAGATGTTTATGACATACAATGTAAAAAGAAAAGATACGTACTCATTCAATTTGTTTGTTACTTTCAAAAATCATATTTGTTTTTTAGGAGATGACAAGCTGACTCTCTATGAACGCACATTTCTTGGCAACCTTAAGTCTACAGTACTATGTGAAAGTGAAGGACTTGTTAGAAGCCTTTGTTGGGGTGAGAACTTTTTGGCTTGGTCTAGTAATATTGGTGTGAGGGTCTATGACATGAATGCTAGATGTTCTTTAGGACTCATCAAATGGGAAGAACATCCAGGGTAATAATTATGTTTAGCAACTTTTGTTCAAAATCACATATTTTTTCCTTTTAGAATTTCAATAGACAAGTTTAGGTGCAATCTGAGGTGGGCTGATAGTAGAACACTGTTAATTGGCTGGGTAGATACAGTAAGGGTGTGTGTGATAAGAAAAAGAAGCAATATAGAATTGGCAAATAGAGATTTACCAGAATATTTAGTTGATCCAGGTAAGTTTTTTTTTAATATTTCTTTTTTAATTGTATATCCTTCTAGTTCTAGATAGGATGTGATTTTTATATAGTTTTTCTTTTATATTCTAGTATCCACTTTTCAAACAGAATTTTATATAAGTGGAATCGCACCTTTAGACCAACAACTGGTTTTATTGGGTTTTCCTAAAGAATTAGATGAAAATCAAAAGAGCTTACGTCCTCAATTATACATAGTTGAGTATAGAGACAATGACTATACCGACATCTGTACAGACAGCTTATCATTAAGGGGCTACGAAGAGTACAGTGTCAATGATTATCATCTGGATGTACTTTTGGAAGAAAACAGATTTTTCATTGTAGCACCTAAAGATGTAGTAGTAGCAAGTCCTTATGATTTAGATGATCGGATCCAGTGGTTTATTCAGCACAAGTAAGTAACATTTATTATCTAGGTTAATTAAAATGTTCAGATTTTAGCATTGTTCTTAATAATTTTTAGCCCTGTCTCTAACTGTATTTAAACCTTTTACATTATCTTATAAATTTGTTGAAACATTTTTTTAAACTATAACTAAATAAAATATAAAACCTCTCGTTATTAACACATTAGCTGCCAAGTTCCTTTTCAGATCCTCAAGTTTTTTTTATAGAATTGATATTGTATTGTTTTTTTTGACATATTTTGATAATTAATTTGTGGAAGAATTTTTATTTTTGTAATATTTTAATGAGATGCATCATGTGCTTCATGTGGCCATAAGGTATAGATGCGATTTATTCTTAGAACTACGTGAAGCCAGCGTGTCATTACCATTACAAGTTAATAGTAATTCAAATGCTAAAACTTACTTGAATTATTATGGCCTGCCAGTTGATATATTAGGCATAGTGGTATTCGAAACAGATCGGTACGTCGCTCAATGCAAAGCGAAAGAAACTACTCCTTATGCAAAAATTGGAAAGTGGTATGATACTGATAGAGAAATGAAAATGACAAATTAAAAAGTTCATTGGTTTACTTTTTTGGATGGGATTATGTCAATATCCTTATTTAGAGTCATAATGGTCCCAAGCTGACACTAGCCTTGAACCTAAAATTTGTTCTGCAAAATTGATGTTCTCTTAACTTTTCTATTTCATTTTTACTAAGCACTAGTTACTCCTTAAATGAGTAAATTAAGATTTCAGGGTGTCTCTTTCCTTTCTGTGGTTAGTTGTGGGAGATCGATTTCTTATAGCCATATCTCCACTAGTAGGTATTTCTAGCAGGACTATATGACTGGCTTCTGGATGTCGAGTCTAGGCGACCTTCTGGCTTCATTCTTTGATTTTTCTTTTCTTGTTTGGGATCGGCTTTTGCAAGTGTTTGCATACGTCCCATTCTTCCACAATTAAAACATCTTCTGTTTTCATTTCGAGTTTTTTGTTTAGATTTTGTAGTATACTTAAAATTTTATATAAAATAGATTGTTGGTTATCTGCGGTAGTGACATCTTCATTTTATCGAACTCTTATTTCTTTTAATTTTGGGCGAGAGCTGGAAATGCTTTTCGCTGCTTTATACTTCTGGGCTGAGATTAATGCCCCTTTAATGTTTTCTAATGTTGTAATCGGAGAAATTGTTGCATTTCTACATCCTGTATCCCATCTATAAATGCCTGTATATCAATTTGTTTCAGAAAATCTTTAGGTATCTGGTACGCCAAAATTAAATAATTTTTTAATGCCTTTTTTTATAATATCGAACTTTCAGCTGACTTACGAACATCTGTTTTAGATACTGCTGGCCATAGTTCTAAATCTTGAACGAGAGAAGTATAACTAGGTGCATCTCGAGGAAGAAATTGCAAGGTGGTTGCTGCCTGTGTCTTTATCTCTTCCTCTGCCTGTTTACGCTTCTCCTTCAGTTCTTCTTCTTGTCTAGGCTTCTCCTTCACCTCCCTATGCTTCTCTTTTTCCTTTTCCATTTTTAAAAACGATGCGGGGAGTCCGGACGTTTCCATTTCTATATCAAATTCAGTAGATCTTTGTACTAACCTTTAAAAATTGTTTAAATATCTCTTTAATCCTACCGCTGTCACCAATGTTACACTTTTTTAAAATGCTTTATTCAAACATCAACTGTATGTTTACAACTTTTACAACAATGACCACTATTAACTTTAAAAACTCAATTATTACCGTTATTTAAACTGTCAACTTGTGTGTTTCTATACATTTTCTGACATTCCAGAAATTACTAGACATTTCGGCATTTTTCGATGACATCTCGAACATTCTAGATTTTTTTAAAACTTCTTGTTCAAGTGACGTCAAGCTATATAGAATAAATCTCACGGAACTGTTGTGACCAATTACTTTTTTCTGCTCTTACAACCATACTATAGCCCATTCATACAAAATATATGGCTTAGAATAACCAATGCGGTTTCACGTTGCTCAAACATGGTTAGGCGTCTGAGTTGCTTAGGTAACGTCCAGCGGTCAGTGGGACACAGTGTGTGATGCTAGGTATGCTTCTTATGGCAGCTAATGTGTTAAAAATTAACAGAGGAATATAAGTAGAAATTAATATAATTGCGTGAAATAAACCTTTTATACTTAAATATCCTTTAATCATGTCGACATTTTATAATCCAATTAAAAAACAAACAGAAAAGTTTCATAACACTTGTTTGATAACCATTGTGTTTTAATTTTTAGTAAGTTTGATGATGCTCTAGATATTTTAATGCAGAACTCTAGAAATATATACAGGCATACCGTCCAATCTGTAGGAATAGATTATTTGGATCATTTGCTCAGCAGGGGGATGTATGATAATGCAGGTAGATTGGGATTAAGAATATTTGGAAAGAATCCAGCTTTATGGGAGGATCAAATCTACAAATTTGCCAGTGTACATCAGCTGAGGTAAAAAATAATAAAATATCTTAAGTTCATTTTTTAATGAAATTTTGTTTTTGTTTTATCAGATGCCCTTTCATGCATTTGCACGAGTTTTAATCGATATGTTTAAATTGAATCTCATTTGTCATTATCCTATTTTATTATCCTTTTTATGTTTTTTATTATACTTTTTATATTTGTATGTATTATTAAACGAGATGGTTTCTGTTATCTAATCTACGAGGGTCATTCGTAAAAAAGGTTCCTTACGCCGCTGAGAAAGAATGCGACGTGCTGAGGAATCTGGCAATACTGCCTTATGGGTAACTCTCCTTATCTCACATCGCACCACTCTCGCCTTGCTACATTCCTCAGTATCAGTGGCTCAGTGGTCAGTGGCGGCCTAGCAGCCTTCGAAGATGGAGCTCCCGATCGCTGTTACCGCCAGATGCGAAATTCGTGTTGTGATACGTTTTCTAAACGAAAAATGGATTTCTACTATTGACATTCATCGTTAGTTAATCGAAGTTTATGGAGAAAAATGCCTATCTGTTTAACATGTTTGCAAATGGTGTAGAGAATTCAGTGTCTAAATTGAAAAAGTTGTCTAAAATTAAAATAATTGTCTAAAAAGTTACAGGCCTGAAGGTCGGAGGTTCACCATTAACGACCTTGCTTTGTGTATTCATAAGACTTCCCACACCACAATTCATAAGATATTAAGAGAAAAATTAGACTATAACAAAGTGTGTGTGTGCGGTGGGTACCGCCACTGCTTACAGAAAATCACAAACGGCAACGTGTTGAGTATGCCCAGCAGTTTTTGAAACAATGTGAAAACAACAAGGAAGAATTTTTGGATTCCATTACGTTACCACGATTCGATTACAATTCCACAAAGTGGTTACCCCCACTTTACCCCCAAAACCAAGCAGCAATCTCGTGATAGGCGTCACTCAACTTTGCCGAAGCAGAAGAAGTATAAACAATTGCAGTCTGCTGGAAAAGTCATGTCTCATAAAAAATGTCACGAAAAATGTTAACCGTATTTTGGAGCAGAAAGGGCCTACTGTTACTCGATTTTTTGCCTCATGGAACAACAGTTAACTCCGACAGATATTGTGAGATATTAAAAAAGACTGACACGTGCGTGTTCAGTATATTTTTACTTTTAATTTGTAATACTCCTTACAACATTGTACTGGCAACGCCGTTGTATAACAGTTGCCTTTGACGGACTCTTAGTCAATCATTGACGCTACAAGTGTACATAATAATAAAGTTATATCTAGTATCAATCGAGTTTCATTTCTTCTCAGACTATATTATAATCTGAAACAAGATCTATCAGCACACAAAATTATAATCAGTGCCATCCAGAATCGGTGGCGAGGACGATTTTCCATTGGTGTGAGGCTTCTCCATGACAACGATGGACTGTTGTGCCTCTACCTGTTGTAGAGTTCGATGTGTTACAAAATGTTGTCGAAGAGCAGGAAATCTTAAAAATCGATCTTGAATAGGGGTAGTTACCCGGTTTCGTCCTTGCCCTAGTCTGCGAGTATGATCCCCTGTTTCAAGGAATCTTTTTAACACCCGTGAGACGGATGTGTGGGACAATTAAACCGACTACCAATTCTTCGGTAACTCCGGTAACCTTCTTCCGGCAGTATCACTGCTTGAGCACATTCATCTCGGGTTAAATTACGTGATTGACGCTTCATAATAAACACAATTAACAATAATCAACAATTAAACAGTAGCCGAATAAAATTCGTGAACACTTGGAAATTAGTATATTTATAGAATTAGTACATTTTTTGCTTCTTTTTGGTTTGTTGCAAAAAATACTATAGCGATAAAACACAGTCAATAAATATAGAGTGTACGAATATCATATACAAGGAGCTTGCAAAATACAACATTACAATGGAAATTTTTATTAACGTTAATAAAAAAATTTTATATTTCAAAGTGGTTCGTTAATTTCTTGGAGAAGTGTATATGCATGGATATGCAGATATTCTACACATGTACAAATTTAATTCATTGTCTTTGTTCCAATTATTCTAATATATATCTGTTTTAGGTCCGTCAGTCCTTACATTCCTCGTAGTATTGAATCAAAACTGAATCCTCATATTTACGAAATGATCTTATATGAGTACCTGAAACTAGATGCCCATGGTTTCTTAAATTTAGTAAAAGAGTGGGATTCTGGTCTTTATAATATCGCAGCTGTGATTAATGCCGTTTTGGAGCATTTGCTTAACTGCGAGATAGACAAAAACCTATATTTAGAAGCTTTAGCCATCCTCTACAGCTACGAGAAGAAATATGACAAGAGTTTATCTATGTACCTTAAGTAAGTATTACCTTATCTTTGACCCATATAGATGAACATTTTAAAAAACTGGTATTACTTAATAGTTTACAACTTTATTAGAGACGACATTGTAGAAAATTTTACAGTATGTCTAGTTTAAAATTAATTGAATAATAAAAATATACAAAAAATAGGAAAAGAGTAATCAACTGGGAAATATTAATTAAATATTCAATATTTAAAACGAAAGAAGATAAATGAAAATTTAAATTATTACTGGCGTCAAAATATTATACAACGTCCTTCCAAATAGTAAATGTGTTAACATAAAAAATTAAAAATCCATATGGATGGAATACACTTTATGCAGATAAACGGGGAAAGGATACTGGTTACTTGGTCAAATTTCTGAATAGAATATTGTATATATTGAAAATATATGTACATATGAGGAGGTGTCAATCAAAAAATCAATCATGTCCACCTTAAGAAGTTTTAGGGAAATCGCAAAAAACGTATTAGTAAATAACCTTACATGAAAAATCGGATAAATTAGCATATATCATTTTATTTATTGAAATTAACTGACTCTTAGTAAATATTTCAAATCTGAAGGTATAAATAAACCTGTAAATACATTTTAAAAAAAGGACATGTTCTTATTTGATTGGACTTCATGAACGTTGATAGAAGGGGTTGATAAAAAAACTCTTAGACTACTTAAAATATCTATTGTATTGTTAAAAAAATATCTTGAAAAATGGCTAACATTTACCAACGACACTTTTCACAAAATATAAATGTTTAAATGTGTAGTCCAATGTCAGGTTCTAGACAATCACAGGATTCGTCCACTTCGTCAGCATCAATTTCGTCGTCCTGGACTTCCACTATTGTGGTCTTATACCAAGATAAAAAGTCATGTTTCTGCCAGTCATCACCATACATTTTCACAAGTAACGTCTCCACGTCCTTCTTCTTAGCTGCTTTCACTATATTGCTCAGTGGAAGTGACTCTACAGGAGTTGAAAACGACCTTGCAGAATGCCAGCCTTTTTTTTGAGGCTTGTTGTAGGTTTCAAAATCACTTTCAAACCTAAAATTCTGTGCCGATTTCACTTTGATAACAGTAAGTTCTTGTCCATTGCGGTTGACAGCTTTCTCTTTCCTCACAAAAATCCTCTTCTTTTCAGATATCATTTCAATGTTTTTAAATCGTGTAGCCAAACTTTTAACATCAATCAATCCCCGATCCTCTCCAAGTTTCCGTACTTCTCCAACAGAACTATATACATTGTAGTACTCTTACTTTGTTGCAATGGTAGGCTGCTTCCTGAGTATTTTTTCAACCCTTCCGAACACCCGATCAGCGGGGAGGAAGCTATGCCCGCGAACAGGGTATGTTAGAACAATCTCCTCTAAAGCATTTTGCACTGATCCTAAGTAATACACTAATGTGTGAACAACGGCATTGTTTTTGTTTTGACTGGCACACCCATCACAGAACAGATTCAGTCTTGTTACATTTGAAAAATTAGCGGAGTTCAAGAAATTTATAAGTGCAGATGAAACTTCGGTCGCACCCCTTCCTGCAAGTTCTTCAGTCCATACGTAAAATATGGGGTTTTGTGCGTTTGATGCTACAATGCAAAAAGAGTAAAAACTTAATTGTCTTTTGTAGAACGCGTCTTGAATAGGAGTTTTGGAAAGTGCTTGAATTTGCTGGAGATCAAAACAGAAAGTAACCTCATTTTCTTTGTTTTCCTTTAAGAGCCCATAAAAAGCATTAGCTCTTAATCTGTGTATTCTTTTCTCCATCATAAATTGGTTGACCACTACCAAGTCTTTCACAGCTTTAGCCTTCTCAATTTTAGCTGAAGATCTATTTTATTGCATGTATTGCAAACGTCAGAAGCTGGTGATGAAAATCCGATATTTAATTCATTGAAAACTCTCCTAAACATAGATTTCTTAACTTTAAGATTATCAAGTACAGAATCATTGTATATTAGCCACAACTTCTTAATGTTTAAGTCTGCACCAAGATAAATCCTTTTCGATTTTTTTTGGATTATAGTGGCTTTCTTTTCCTCTTAAATTTCTCAAAAAAAAGGCGGACTGATTCCTTGTTCGCAGCAGATTTGTGACTCTTCCTATTGCCACCCCTCTGATCTTTAACAGCCTTTCCCTCTTTCACCTTTTTAGAAATATTAGTCAATCTTGTTCCCTTCACCATGGTAATATGCATGAAAAGTTTCCTACACACAGGTGTAACTTTACCGGTTGATGAAAGTATAGAATATTGTACACTAAAACTTTTTTAGCCTTTCATTTTTCAGAGGTAGGCCTAGGCCTTCGCCGCTTTATGTTACGTTGATTTATCCAACTGGCAATGGTGTTATCTTGCGTGTTTTTGTCAGGTACTTTGTAGAGGATATTTCGAACAAAAATAGCATCTATAGGCCTAACTAATGCACATTTCATACCTTTGTTCATGTGTTTACGTGGAACAAACACACGACATTCCACTGGAGTACTGTATCGCTTAAGCTTGGCTATAGTTTTTTTATCCACAGTCTTTTTATTTTTACGAGATCCTTCATTGGCATCGCCCACTCTCACTAAGTTTTCATCATCCATAGAAAATTTCAATTTTATTTAATAAAAACTACTATAATAATATTAAAATTAAACCACAGTGCAATACAAACTCAATACTCGCTATCGACGTAACCTAGAGGGAAAACACAGACAATGTGTTGACATGGTCAAATCACGTGACCAAATCGGGGCACTCCTATTAGCTGAATGGACATGTGGTGGTATGATTGAAACCAACTGTGGACATGATTTCATTTGATTTGGGAACCTAATATTGTATATTCATTTTAAACAGGACATGATTTTTTTTAACCGAAACCGAAAACACCATAGAATAGGATTCACTCTTTATATTATGAAACAGCTGCTAACTCATTTTTTGATTTTTATGGACATGATTGATTTTGATTGACACCTCCTCATATGTAAATATTAAAATAGCTAAATATGTGGCGTTTTTAAAAAAATAAAAACATATTATGGAAAGAAGAAGAAATATCGATAAAACATTGATGCCACAGGACTATCTTCTGGACGCAAAACAGTGTAATATTCGGTTAATGAAGTGTTCTAGAAGTTCTGGCTGACTTTTCTTGATAGAAACACAGGAGCTGACTCACGGTCGCTGTTTTGTAATGATATATTCTTTTTCGGTTTTTATGCGGAATTATTTTTTCTTGACCTTTCGTCTGCGGCTAGGGCAGATCTTATTAAAGGCCACGCCGTAATGGTCCGAGTTTTCTGCCTGACTGAGACATCTGCGGCCATTACTAACAAGTTAAAACACAAAAACCACGATTTTGTTCTTTGTACGATAAAATACCTGCTAATGGTAATACATACTTACCCTAATTTTTTATACATTTTAGGTTAAAACATAAAGATGTTTTTGTATTGATTCAAAAACATAATCTCTATAGTGTGATTCAAGATATGTTGCTAGATCTGATGGACTTAGATCATAAGAAAACTATTGATCTTCTGTTACAAAAAAATACTATATCTTCAGACAAGATAGTGGAGAAATTAAAGGAAAACCCGCTACATCTTTATAGGGTAAATTATGTTAATTTATAATAATATGTTTATCACATAAAATTTATGATAAATGGATTGAATCTACACTGCTCGTCATTAAAAAGAGGCCACCTAGATTTTTTAAGTAATTTTCATTTTATACAATTTATTCTATTGAAACTAAACCCCCACAATTAATAAACAATTTTAGACACAGCCACTTGGTGCCGACAGTTCAATTAAGGGTAAAAAGTTCGCAGAATCGATATCAGTTTTACGATTTCGGAGAATGCATGTGTTTTTTGTACGTTGTTTTTCTTGGAATATGGCTGTTATGTTTTTCAAAAATCTTTCATTAGTATACAGTTGTTCAAAGGGTGAACTTGTGCAATTTTTTAATTTATAACTATGGCTGAAAGATTTGCTAGATCTGTTCAAATGGTTACTTTGTTTGATAATGGAATGAGTCAAAGAGAAGTGGCCAGACAGCTTGGAGTCCGTCGTTGTATGGCCCAAAAACCTACCAAAGATTCGTAGAAACTTAATCTCAAGAACTATGAGGCGCGAGAAGAATCACAATGACCAGAGAAGAACGTTCTTTACAACGCACTTCTTTGCAAACTCGATTCTTTACGGCTAGAGAAATCTAAAATCGTTTTCAAAATGCTCACAAGTGGACATTAAGCACTTCTACAGGGAGAATAAGGTTGAGAGAATTTGGTCTAAGGTCTCGCTGCCCAGCAACAGGACCTTTGTTGACAGCAGCACATCGACAACGACAACTTATGTTTGCTAGTGACCACGAGCATTGGACGATAGGAGCCTGGAAAAATGTTTTGTTTAGTGATGAGTCCAGGATGGTTCTTTATGGCTCAAACGGTTGCATCAAAACGTACAGAAGATTTGGGGAACGATATGCTGCTTGTGTTCGACAAGCATGTGTTGCTTTTTAAGGAGATTCATTGGCCGGCTCAAAGCCCAGGTTTGAAATCGATTGAACATGTTTGGGACCAATTCAAACGAAGAGTAAGAAACAGAATACCTGCTCCAATAAATCGTGAGCAGCTTCGGACGGCGCTCAACGAAGAATGTGAAGCTTTTCATTAAGAAAACATCCAGAATTTGAACAATTCAATGCCAAATTCAATGAGGAGTGTAGTTTAAAAAGAGGTGGTAATACAGAATATTAAAAATCACGACTTTTACGACTATTATAATTTTTATAAAGAAAACAGAAAAAATTTACAATGTTAATGTTTTAAATTTTCCATTTAAATCATCATTTTGGGAGTTTTCGACATTTGTTAATTAAGAAATGGTTACATACTGCTTTAGAGCATATTCTTAAATATTACTCAAACGTTTAATGACAAGAAATTTCTTGTAGAATTCGTAAACTTTAAAAAATGACAACAAACTTAGGCTTCTTTTTAATGACGCGCAGTGTATTATTTCCTAATTCTCACACCATACATTTTAATGTGTACAAAGTTTAGTATACTTTTGTATAACGTAAATTATACAAAGAATTCAAATTCATATTCAACAAACTCTCATCAGTAAAACGCCAAATTAGTTGAGTTAAATATTGAAAATTGAAGAACAATTAAAATCCTATTATCATCTTTATTTTCTGCATTTTTATTGTATTGTCATGCCAATATCATATTTTATGTATGCCAATTATATTATATGAATTTATCTGTTTTATTCTGTATATATTTTCCTTTATTTTCTAATTGTAAGAAATTCTCAATCTTTTTTCGTGTCGAATTTGTATGTCAGTTTCCGTAGGTTGCATTGTTTTTATTATATTTGCGTAATCTTGTTCTCAAAATAGATGATTTCTTCATGATTTTAGTATAACATTTTCACTTTTTACTGCTGATGTAATATATATATATAGTCCCAAGATTCCTAAGAGGAACATAGGGCTTCCACAAAGTGTCTCCAGCGAACTCTATTTCTGGCTAGTGCTTTGATTTCAAGCCAGGATTTTCCCATTGTTCTCCCTTCGTCCAGTACTGTCCTTCTCCAAGTTCCCTTAGGTCTGCCTACTTTCCGTCTTCCTTGGGGATTCCAATCCAGTGCTGTCCTGGCAATGTCATTTGGCGGTCTACGGAGTGTGTGGCCCAGCCATCTCCATTTTCTTCGCCTTATTTGCTTTATGACATTTTCTTGGTTGCTTTGGTTCCATAAATTTTCATTGGAGATTCGGTTAGGCCAAAATATACGAAGGATTTTTCGTAACGCTCTATTAATGAAAACTTGTAATTGGTGTACTATGGGTGCTGATATCTTCCACGTTTCGCAGCCATACAGTAATACAGCTTTTACATTTGTGTTGAAGATTTTTAGTTTCGTTTTAGTTGGGTAAATCCTGGATTTCCATATGTTGTTAAGCATGTTGTAGGCGTTGCGAGCCTTATTTATTCTTTCATGTACATCACGCTCTGTACCCCCATTACAGTCAATTATGCTGCCCAGATATACAAATTCCGCTACTCTCTCAATTTTCTGGTCGTTGATCATAATAGGTTGGTTGTTTCTGGTACCAAATCGCATTTCTTTGGTTTTGTTGGTGTTTATTTCTAGACCAACCTTCTTTGATTCTTCTTGTACTTTGTTTACTTGGAGTTGCATGTCCTGTTTTGTATGTGCTAGGAGGCATATATCATCAGCGTAATCTAGGTCTTCCAGTCTGTTTGTTAATCCCCAGTAAATTCCTCTATTAGAGTTTACCTTTGTTAGTACGGAGTCCAGTACAATGTTAAATAGTATAGGGGATAAAACACAGCCCTGCTTTACTCCGTTTAGCATAGCTATTGGGTCAGATGTTATGCCGTTGTGTAGGATTTTGCTTTCTGTGTCACTGCTGATGTAATAGTCATTCAATATTTTTTATATTATAGTATTTAGATGAATACGATAAGAAAAATCCTAAAGGAAAATATCACAAAGAGCTGGTTCAGTTATATGCCGTATTTGCTAAAGATAAATTGTTATCCTTTTTAAAAAAATCTGATCATTATCCGATTCAAGAAGCTTTGGATATTTGCCAAAAGGAGAAATATTATCCCGAAATGGTATACTTACTAGGTAAGTTCTAAATTTATATTTCCTAAATTAGTATTCACGAAAAACTAATCATAAATAAGTATATATATATATATATATATATATATATATATATATATATATATATATATATCAACATTTTATTAAGCAATTTGGCTTAAATCGTAATATTTTAAAGTATAGAATCTACGGTTTCTTTTTGTACAATTACTTAAGGACCACCGTACACTTAATTAAGTAATTGTACAAAAAGAAACCATAGATTCTATACTTTAAAATATTACGATTTAAGCCAAATTTCTTTAATAAAATGTTGATATTAAGAAAGATACATGGTGTTAAAGTGGAAATTTCAAATTTTAATTTTCGCTATAACTTTCATGTTTGTAAACATTTATGTATCAAAAACTCATAACTGGGCACTATTGAACATCAGAAATTATAATTTGATGCATACTTTAATGTAGCTGATAGAGGGCGCCACATATGCCACATATGTGGCATACATTTGCACTTAACTTTTTTGCTATTTAAGTTACCGTTGTTTGTCATAAAAATTTGTGTTAAAGATACATAATTTTAACAAAAAAAAAAGGTATACTTGTTAATAACTTCAAAACTCAACAGTTTTCGAGATAATCGCATTTTACAAATCAACTTTATAATTCAGATTTAACGCAATTACTCCAGGCAACGAAAAAAATTAGACAAAAACGTCAATACTTCTGAATTTTGGTATAAAATGCCTTAAATTAATAGTTAACGAAATATTAAATAAAATAAATATATCAGCAGGATAATTTGCAATAGGCTTTGACAAAATAACAGAATGATTCGATTTTACATAAAACATTTTACATTTTGTATTAAATTAAAGTCATAATCAAAATATTATTATTTATATGCCAAATTAAGAAATAGTTAAACCAAATAACGGCAAACTTTTTGTCAAAGTAAGTGTTCGATATGTCCACCATTTTCTTTAATTCATTTGTCAATACATTCCATAAAAGATCGTCTCATTAAATAGCATCATTGATTCTAAAGAAACTGCAGCGGTGTTTATTATAAGTATACTAATGAGTACGCTTTTGAATTTTTTATGAATTAAATAACTATAATAATATCTCACCACATGACTAAAGAACATGACTACCACGAACAATCCAACGTTCAGGAAAGTTGTATTTAAGTATGTTCTCACTGCCCTCTCTCTATAATGTGATAGTGTACCATCTTGCATAAACCGCATATTTCGCCTTAAGTTTGATTATAATTCTTCCAGTAAATCAATATAATCATTTTATAAAAAATATACATAAATATTACCATTCAAATTAGAAGGTATGTCGCATGTCCGTAAAAAATAATTACCAATGGTTCCAAACCATACGTTTATTTAAAAGTCATATTTAAAATGCATCTTGTATGGTTTGGTATTATTTGTAATTTTTTTAGGGATATGCGAATTACCTTGTAATTTGAATGGTGGGATTTATTTACATTTATTATAAAATTATTTTATTGATTTATTGGAAGAAGTTTCATCAAACTTAATGCGAAATATGTGGTTAATGCAAGATAATTAATTACAACTTTCCTGAACGTTGGATTGTTCGTGGTAGTCATATTTCTTGGTCATGTGTTGATATATTAATACAATTATTTAATTCTTAAAAATCCCAAACGAATACTTTATTATTATCTTATTTTTATTATATATTATACTTACAATACTTATTATAAATACTGCTGCAGTTTCTTTAGAACCAATAATGCTATTTAATATGAGACGATCTTTTATGGAATGTATTGACAAATGAATTAAAGAAAGTGGTGGAAATATTGAACAATTACTTTGACAAAAAGTTTAATGTTATCGTTTAACTATTTCTTAATTTGGTTTATAAATAAAATATTTTGATTATGACTTTAATTTAATGCAAAACGTAAAATGTTATGATGTAAAATGCAATCATTCTGTTATTTTATCAAATACTGTTGCAAATTATCCTGCTGATATATTTATTTTATTTAATATTTCGTTAACTATTAACTTTATTAAAGTCATTTTATACCAAAATTCAGAAGTATTGATATTTCTGTCTAATTTTCTTTCGTTGGCTATAGTAATTGCGTTAAATCTGAATTATCTAGTTGATTTTAAAATGCGATTATCTCAAAAACGTTGAGTTTTGAAGTTATTAACCAGTATACCTTTATTTCGTTAAAATAATGTATCTTTAATATTTTTTTTATCACCAACACCGGTAACTTATGTATGCTGCAAGAGAGGAGTAGGTTGCAAACAAATGTTGTGGCTACGAAACATAAAGAACTTGACGCACTGTAGGTGCACAGCGCTATAAGAAGAGAGATGCGTTAAATTATAATTCCTGATGTTTAATAGTACACAGGTATACATTTTCATACATAAATGTTCACTAACATCAAAGTTATAGCGAAAATTAAAATTTTAAATTTCGACTTTAACACCTTGTATCTTTCTTAATATCAACATTTTATAAAAGCAATTTGGCTTAAATTGTAATATTTTAAAGTGTAGAATCTATGGTTTCTTTTTTTACAATTACTTAAGGACCACCCTGTATATATATATATATATATATATATATATATATATATATATATATATATATATATACATATATATATATGTATATATATATATATATATATATATATATATATATATATATATAATATATATATATATATATATATACCGGGTGGTGAATCGTCAAACGGGCCATAGGAAACTCAATGAGAAATTTTAAATTGTTGAATTGCTGCTTCCCTAATTATTTTAGACCAAAAGTCATAAAAACTATTTGTAGAGGACTAAAATCTGAATTAAAAACAAATGTTAAAACCGTTCTACGAATCAAATGTACTTTAAAATTTTGCAAAAATATAATACATTTTTCAGGCCACCCCTAAAAGTTAGGCCACACGTAATGCAAGAATATATATTAGGACGTGTGTGTTTTATCATATTGATGTCAGATGTTTGACAATTCGAATTGTCAATTTTTTTATTTTATGAATAAATTATAAACAATGAATTTTACTAAATACTACTACTAATGAACATTATTACCCTGTGAACAATAAATTATATAGTTTACAAATCGATCAATATAATGAAATGTACTCAGTTGACGAAAAATGGCATAATGTTGTATTCAGGCAATAGCGCGAACCTTTTCCTGCCACTACCGGATTTGTATTTGACGTAAGATATTCTAATTCACTAAAATTTAATTCCATGTTAAGTTAAGTTATACAATTCAATGAATTCCAATATACTGTTACTGTGATCTTTATTCCCAATAATAATATATGATAATTTCTAAACATAAAACTATAACAAATGTTATAATAAAACATGAATAAAACATTTTTATACAACAAATATAACAAATACAATAATAAAACAATAAATCACAAAATTTTGGCCATTTAAATCGTACATAAATGTAATATAATTGATTTAAATATAGTCAAATATCAGAAACAATAATATGACAAAACGCAACACGTAATACACATTTTTTCACAGAAAAATGTATTATATTTTAGCAAAATTTTGGAATACGTTTAAGTCGTAGAATAATTTTAACAGTTGTTTTCGATGCATATTTGAGTTCTCTACAAATAGTTTCCCATGACTTTTGGTGTAAAATAATTAGGGAAGCAGGAATTAAACAATTTAGAATTTCCCATTGAGTTTCCTATGGCCCGTTTGACGATTCACCACCCTGTATATATATATATATATATATATATATATATATATATATATATATATATATATATATATATATATATATATTAATTTTTATTACATTTTTCAGGAAGGATAGGTGATACAAAAGAAGCATTAGCATTAATAGTAAATGAACTAAAGGATATGCAACATGCTGTTGCTTTTTGTCAAGAACATGATGATTCTGATTTGTGGGAAGATCTTATCGATAGATGTGTTAATGAACCAGGTATGTACACATTATAAATATGCAATTTGTCGTAGTGCATTTAATTTATATTTTTAAAAGTGTCTTGTATTAAAGATTATCTGCAAGTGTCATTTGAAAGTGTAACACCGTAAAGAAGAGAAAATTGGTTTACTTCAATCATATTACGCGTAATAGTAAATATCGACTTCTACAGTTAATTCTACAAGGCAAGATTTGGGACAAGAGAGGCCCTAGACGTAGACGTATAGGTGTAAGGTCAACTGATCTATTTCGATCTGCTTTGAATAGAATAAGATGGTTCAATGTGGTCTTTGTCGTCTGCCAAAGCTTTGGTAAACGAGACAGTCGGCATAAAAGTGAACAAAAGTTTAATTAACAACATTAGGTATGCCGACGATACAGTCATAATAATGGCCGACAACTTGGAAGACTTAGAAAGAATAATGAACAAAATATTAAGATATAGTGGAGAATACGAACTCTCTCTTAACATCAAAAAAACCAAATTTATGAAAATTAGCAAGAACAACAATATAAATGAAATATTAACGGTAGGAGACCAACAGATTGAGAGAGTAAAAAGATATACTTACTTTTCACTTTTTATCTGGATCCTTAAACACAACGAAAGAAGGGAATTTACAATAATTCGGACATGTAATGAGAGGCGAAAGATTCAACATCTTGAGACTTGAATTCAAGTAAAAATAGGGGGTAGTAGAAGCGTAGGAAGAAGACGCGTTTCCTGGTTGAAGAACCTGAGAGAATGGTTTGGTTGCAGCTCAAGACAATTGTTCAGAGCAACTGCCTCGAAGGTCAGAATAGCCATGGTGATTGCCAACCTTAGTCGCGTAGATGTCACTTAAAGAGGAAGAAGAATGTGGTCTGGTTTAACGTATTTAGAAGATGCGCACCTTTGGAAGGAAAAGCAGTCATATAAAATACCATATTTTCTTTTATAATTGAATATGCGAGTGGAACAACGGGACCAGTGACATTTGCTCAATTTTAAGGTATTTGGTGTCAAATAACCGACCCGGTAGTGCAGTGGACAGATCGCTAATCTTCCAAGCGAATGGCATTAGAATCTGACAACACGGGATTTTTCTACTAAAAGAATTTCTAATGTTTCTGTATTAATAATATATATTATTAATACTATCTGATATTCTGATTTTATAATCGAGTCTTTGTAAAATCAATGAAGACCACTTTACGTAATGAGGACAATTTTTTTCTGAGCCAAGAAGTCTGCTGGGAAAAAATGTACAAAATATTTTATTTTTGCATTGTAATTATGTCCTCTGAGCACGTGTCAAATGTTAAGTGTTCTTTTAATGAATATTTTTATTTAGTATATATGTTTATTGTATTGTTCGTAATGCGCATAAGTCCAGTTTTTTAATTTTTTATTACATATTTTTTGGCCTCTCATAGAGTCTTTAAGCATATACCCGAACTGCTATACTCGCTAAAACAACACTCAGTCCTCACTGCAAGACGCAAGAGTCTCGCATTTCTTGCTTAAATCTTGCATGGTCAGTCTTGGTCTTGCTAAAATTATGCGGCCTTGGTCTTGGTATTGCGAAAACACAAGAACAAGACCAAGACTGCAAGACCAAGACCGATTTTTGGCAACACTAAACGTAAGTAATAATAACGTTTTCAATCTAACAGTCAAAATGGGATCCCTTTATACTTTTAGGTTTTTCACTGAGGTTGACCTGAGAGAATCAAAAACGTTCTGAAAATTTATAAATCCATTTAGGATAATTTTTAAAAATTTTAATAATAAAATTTTAAACCATTTTACAAAAGGAAGTTTTTACATTTCAAGTTTTTTTATTCTATGGTATACTGCCAACTTCCCTAGGGCAATTTCCCTTTTAAATTTTAAATATAATTTATTTACATTTTTAGTTTTTGATCAGTCTCTGGTTTTATACCTTATTTTTTTAGTATATGGCTTTGTTCAACTATGTAAATCCTATGACATTAGATAGTTATAATGTAAATATTTTTCTTACAGAATTTGTGACATTTTTATTGCAAAGTATTGGGTCATACGTGGATCCAACAATGCTGATTTTAAAAATTAAGAAAGACACCAAAATTCCAGGCCTTAAGAATTCCTTGGTTAAAATGTTAAACCAATATAATTTACAGGTACGTTTTTTTTTAATAGTATGTTATTAAGAAACCTTCAGTGGAACCAAACTATTTACCCCAAGTCAAATGTTATGTAATAAATCACCAAATTGTTCCCCAAAATGTTATTATTTGGCAGAATTATTTGCCTTAAGTTTTGCGTAATAATATTATCATGGTTGCACTTTTAGTGTCATTTAGTTCTTCTTCTTTCAGTACCCTGTCCGATTATCGAACGTTGGCGGTCATATTGGCAATAATAACTTTTGTTTAGGGCAGCTCTAAATATATTATCGGTGATCTCTTGATACCATTCTCGAGGATTTCGGAGCCAGGATGTTCTTCGTCGGCCTGGGCCTCTCCTTCGGGCGATCTTACCCTGTATTATGAGGTGTAGAAGGTTATACCTCTCTAGATGTCTCATTACATGTCATTCAGTTGAAAATTTAAATGTTTTACTATTCTTACCATTAGGGATGTGTGGGGGGGGGGGTCAATAGTACTGTAAATTTAAAACAGCGAGTGAATTGTGACGTTGCGTTAGCCGCCATCTTATTTAAAGGAGAACTGAGAGAGAATTTTCAACTTTTCAACAAAAATGGTAGGTACTGAAAATGTTACAAATGAGATTTACTATAATTTTTTTTTTAAATTTTTCGTGCTGTCCATATTTTCCGAGTTAAGGGATAATTGTACATCAACAGAAATGTAGAGAATTATATTTTATCCACTTTTGATCTCTTATTTTTTTGCTAAAAAAATATTTGAGGTCGTACGTATGCGGTAGAGACGCAAGTGCAAGAGCTTGCAGGGATTGGTTTTACAGGAATTGTTTTTATTCAAAATCTGGGCCACTTTCAACTTTTTGTCAAAATAGTAAGGACTTCAATTGTTGCAATTGTAAAGAAATCAAAATTGTATAAAATATAATTCTCTCCATTTTTGTCTATGTTCAATTATGTCATAAAGTTAATAATAAACGAGATATTTCAATAATTATACGCACCTCCCCTCCATTATTTTCTATTTTAACTCAGAACATATCGACTGCGCGAAAAAAATTGTAAAAAGGAAATCGTAGTAAATCGGATTGGCCACAATTTCAGTATCATTTGGCCACAATTTCAGTATCATTTTTGTCGAAAAGTTTAAAATGGCGAAGATATTGACCAAAAATGGTTCTCCTTTAAACTCAAGATGGCGATTAACCCAATGGCGGAATTCATTCGTGACACTTTGCTGACTATCAAACACTATTTAACTGCTACAAATAAAATTTAATGGGTATAAAATTCCTACGAAAACACAACGCTATCTCCCGTACTATTATATTTACGAAGAGAGTAACGGCATATACGTAATGCGTAAGCGTTGCTAAAGCGACATAGATAGACTACCGATCGAGTGCTCCACGTTACACTATTTTTCTCACTATGTCTTGTCTATTCTTATTATGTATATGACAATAACACTGTCGCTTTTTTGAAATTGTGAATCTGCTGTATAAAAGCAAAGAGAAGTCACCCCATTTAGTTCACTTTATCGCCAAGTGGTGTCCAGTGCCTGTAAAAGACACCTTTCTTTGTAAAATTTAGTTAATATATTAAATTGTAAGTTTTGAAATAAAGGAAAATGTAAATATTTTTTATTACAATAATATATTGAAAGGTTCTGTACGTGAAATCAATAATTATTTTATCAAAGCAATGCTGTTTTATGAAATATACATCCTTCGCTTCTTTTCAGAACCACCTTCTCTCTCTCTCTCTCTCTCTCTCTCTCTCTCTCTCTCTCTTTCTCTCTCTCTCTCTCCATCTCCCTCTATTTCCATATTATTTATAATTTCTAAAGAGAACTTTTAAATCAACTTTTTGATATATTTAAGTGGGTGTGTAGGTTCGACTACTTATGGTTATGGTAGATCGGGGCAGGGCCCATTTATGAGCCCTGTAGATACTTAAACCAACTAAGACGGGACCATTATATCACTAGGTTCGACTACTAATTTCATTTCATTTTCAGTTCATTTACTTATCATCCAAGTTTATTTAGAACCGAATTCTTTTAAAAAATAATAAAAGGGAGTTTGTTTTAGGTTTCTGTACAAGAAGGCTGTAAGAAAATTTTAGTTTCTGATTATTTTAATCTACAAAAGAAACTTGTAAAAGTTCATCAGAGAGGTCTAGCTGTGATGGAGGATTTGGTTTGTGCGTGCTGTACTAGAAAAATAGTTGAGAGAGGTGCGGATTAGTACATTTTATGATTTTAATCGTTAATCTATCATTTCATGTAGGGATTATCAACAATCCTATTGAATAAACATTTTGTTCTTATTTTTCAAATGAATAATCACTTCTTTATTTACTTCTAGATCCATCTCGAGCTGTAGATATTGCTGTTTATAATTGCAAGCATACTTTTCATTTGCAATGTATACCTGAAAATATGAGTAAATGTGGAATTTGTTATACAACAGAGCAAAAGTAATAAAAGTAAGTATATATGCAAGCAGAATAATAAAATACCACCTTTGTAATTCGGCAAATGTTAAAGAGCAACGAGTTGCTGGAGTCTGTGTTGCTTTGCTCCATATGAGTGTAAGCTACCCGAGATTGCCGTGGATTAAGGAGTTTATTTTTTCTGAGTCATATTTAGCTATTTTGCAGATCGACCCAATATGCCTATGTGGCTCGTAATTTACTTAACTGTCTATATGTAATTCTAAATATTTTATAGAATCATTATTGTTATACAATATTTTATACAGTCATTCCAGATTTAAGTATCTTTAAGTCAGTTTTTGAGATCTCCAATATTCCATGCAGGACTGACTCCAAATATTCTATGGTCATTAGCTGTAGATTTGTTGATTACACATAACATACAAATACACACACGCACTCATACACGCAGATGACCATCTCGTTCGATGGTTGGAGAAATAGCTGGATGAGTAGGAAATAATAACTCACCGCTTAGATATATTTGGGATCTACGCTATTTCTAAAAATAAGCTTCGAGGAGCCTGGAAGGTTATACAGTCTTAAAGGAGTTCGAAAACCCGAAAGGATAGTAACTGTACTGGTGCGCGGAATCAAGGATCCCGCAGGCACCGGAAAGAGATTGAGTATGGCGTACACTACCAATCGGGTACACCCTGTACAATCAGCAATCACTATTCGTCAAATCAGAGTACATGCTCTGAGAAGTGCTTGTGTTTCTGATCAAACGAATATGGATTCCCAGCTCTACCAACGTGGAGTACTAGGACGATTTTTGTGGTAAGGTGGAACATGACCTTTACCCAAACGCAAATGTGGTATTATCCCTAAAATATTGCAATTCACAAAAAGAATGCGTTAAAAGGAACATATTTCGCATTTGTTTATATAAAATATGTTTAATAATTCGAATCGAGGACATTCATAAAAAATAGCCTCGATTAGAATGTGTAGGTCAGCAGAACTGTTAATCGCGACCATATTGTTGTCGTAGGTTGATAAAACAAACTTGACCCACCAATGAATGACTGCTGATATAGCAAGGATAACGATTATTATCTCATTATTATGTCTAGATGACAAGTCGATATACCACGTATTAGCACAACGTCAACTAAGTACAAATTACATTTAAGATAAGTAACATTGTAAGAGTGTAAAGTAGTGTTTTAAATAAATGTACCATACGATACCATAAGTGAAGCGTCATTTATTACATGGCGATCCTACCGTTTGAATAAGAAATCTTCTGATCCCAAGAAAAAAATTAAAAAATGGCAACTACATACTGGAAATTTACATACTACATGTTATATGAAACACAAATATAACTGAAGATCGCCCACGAGAAATTTGGAAGACTCAAGTTTGTTAAACTCTTCAGGCCAATTAAGTCTGGTGAACGACGGGCCAAGTAAAACTACAATTGGAAAACCAAAAATAGTTGCAGCAACACAAAATACACATACACACATGTATACCTACACTATTTGTACTCAATCGACAATTCATAATATAATAAACAATATAACTGACATAGGTGCGGAGTTAAATTGTATAAATACAACAATAAAAGCAGTGGACAAGAAATATCGAAACAAAGCACATAAGAAAAACAAAGTGTGGATGACACAAGTTGATGTACTAAACTCGAGCAGTAAAAAATCATCAGGAAAAGCACAAAGAATTAGACAGATACGTCAAACGAAAAATAAAAGATGCCGAGAATTATGGATTAAAAACAAATGTAAAGAAATGAAAAACTATAATCGAAAATAGAATAGCTTCAATATGTATAAAAAAGTAAAAGACGTAGAAGGGATTCCGAAGAAAAGCCACATCAGTGTATTTAAGGACAAAAATGGAAGAATAATCACATATTTTAAAAGAAAATTACAGAGATGGACTGAATATATAAATGAATTATTTTCTGGCAATAGAAACAACCTTCCACAACTAAAGAGTGAAACCGCTCCTGGTATATCAGTCAACATCTGTTAAACACCATAAACAATACTGGTATTATTCTTCAAGAATGACTGTTATCCACATTCAATGCAATACCGAAAACCTAATGTATAGAATGTTCCGATCACGGAAAATGGTAACCTAGGAAAGAAATCTGAACTACCAACATCTGTCATTTCAACCATTTTTTGGTCTTGAAACAATACCGTTGATTTATTTCTAATTCATCCCAAAAATTGATGATTCAAATATCCTTGCTCGGAAATTGTACTACTTCATCAGTAATTATTTTTTTCGCAAAATTACTTCAAATAGGTTAGGTACTGTAATTGCAAGGTAAGGTTTATGTACATACATTTACATATACACTTATTATAAAAATAAAATTACGTTTAACAAAATTCAACTTTGTACCAAAATAAAATAAAATAAAATAAAATTAAAATTAAGTAAAATAAAATAAATTAAAATAAAATAAAATTAACTAAAGGTAAAGAGAATTAAACAAAATTAAATAACGTTAACCAGAATAAAATAAAGAAAATTATATAAAATGAAAGAAAATTGTACAAAATTAATTAAATTATTAATTAAAGTAAAATTAAACAAAATTACATAAAATAAACAACATTAAATAAATCTATCTATATGAACGGCTACGACGACAAGTCGCACTGTTTGTTTGTCCTGTAGAGGAACTACGAAAGAAATCTATACCTAGGATAGAAAATACCTAGGAAAGAAATCTGAACTACTAACATCTGACATTTCGAAGACATCGCAAAGCTGCTAAAAATATAGGTTAGGTACTGTAATTTAAGGTAATATATACACTTATTACATACACTTATTATAAAAATAAAATGACGTTTAACAAACGTCAGTGTTTAATCAAAATAAAATTAAATTAAATTACATAAATTAAAATTAAATAAAGTTAAGTAAAACTGAATAAAATTATTTAAAATTAAATAGAATTAAATAAAAATTAAATTAAACAAAATGAAATGAAAATAAATTAAATGTAATAATAATCGAAATGAAGTTATTAAACATACATACAAGGTAATACTAAAAATGTAAATGATGAATAAATTTTATATATTTAACAAATTTTAAAAATTACCAAAATCAAACAAAATTTTTTAAGAAAATAATTTGGATTTTCAATATTTTTAAGAACTTAAATGTGTAGTGTTATTATAAAAAAATATTAACAATTGACTAACATGCAGACGTAAAATTAACCCACATAGCAATAACGCGCTGTAAGAAGTATTTACTTCTGTCGGCACTTCCCAATTGCCACGCGCCGTTTTTGTTATTTTTTTAGTTAATGAGTGACTGTAGATGGCAATTGATTGGGTCTCCCATCGCATGCGACGGTCAAAATCACTAGTCCGTTATAAAAGTTATATAAATAAAAAGACTCTTTCGGACTACATCACAACAGTACGTTTTAGTACTAAAAAATCCATCATGAGTGCATTTACCTGGAATAAGTATTACCACTTTAGTGAATGCAAACGTAAAGGGTAAATTTTCACTAACACTAAAAAAGCAAAGTGGTTAAATACTCATCAAGTGTACATGAGTCACCCCACTAAATAAAATAAAAGGGTGAAAACCCTTAAAATGGTACATTTGTTGTTTATTTCATTTTTGTTATAGCCTATTGTAATATAGTGTTCAATTACTAAATTGAGATTCGATAAATTTCGACAAAAGGTCAAAATGTTTGTTAAAAGTAATATCAAAATGAAGGGTACATCATTTTTAGATTGTTGTAGTGCCTTTATTTTTTAATCTTTAAAAGTTTGTCTAATATTTCATTCTAGCAATTTTCACAGGACACAGACTTTGGAAGAAGTCCATAGTAAACGGTAAAATATTGTGCGGTTTTAAAAGTAGGATATTGTTCAAATAATCTGCAATAATGTGCTTTACTTCTGGGTGCTCGTGCATATATGATTTCATTTTTAGTTCAGCTTCGGTCTAAAACAAAAAACGTTTCTTTTATTCAAAGTTTTGTTATACAATATGTTAAGTTTTGGATTAGATATTGTACACTACATAAAGCGCTAAAATTGGCAACATGTATCGTACGAGGTAATGGTAATTACCCATATCCTCCGACACCACGACAGAAAATCTTATCAAGGGGGTATGAAAAACCATGTTTATAAAGTTATTTTGTTTACTGCTAGTTTATTAAGAAATCCATTCCTGTCTCAAACCATCTCGGACTCTTGAGTAAAAAATTTAAGATTCTTTGCCATAAGTATATCTGTATTGAGACATTTCTGGACACTGATTATTGCGTGTATTTCTGTTTAGTTCAACATATTCGGTTATATAAAAGTCGTTCTAGTAATTTATAACAGCAACTGAGTAAGGCAATAGGCCGGTAACTTTCAGGCAGCTTGTTGTCTTTGCCAGGCTTCTGGATTGCGATAATTTTTGTTCTTTTGAATTCTGGGGGTAGCACAGTTGTATTCACAATGTCGCTAAAGAATTTTTTGAGCCACTGTCGTGTTTTTGTACCAGTGTGGACTATAAACTCAGGATACATTCCATCGAAGCCTGCTGCTTTTCCTGTTTTAGTTTGATTAAGCGCTTCGTTTATTTCATCCGATGAGAAGGCACGTGAGTATTCTGATGTTGCGGGAGTATTTGCTTTAAGTTGTTTAAGAGCTCTTTTTACGGTAGATGTATGAGTTTTCTCAGATGGAGCTCGGGAGCTTCTTAACCGAATATGTAACACCATTGAGGATACTGTACCAATTGAACAAGCTGGATTTAGAAGAGGACGAAGTTGCTGTGACCAAGTGCTGTCCTTAACTACATTTATTGAAGCTGGCTTTGAAAGACGCGAAAAATCTGCCATAACATTTATAGATCTCACGGCTGCCTATGACACGGTGTGGAGAGAGAGCCTTATTTATAAGCTGATGAAAATCATACCTTGCCTCAAAACTTGTCAGCTGATAAACAATCTACTGACTAACAGACTGTTTCAGGAATATATGAATGATGCACAGAGTAACGTTAGAAAACTTAACAACGGCTTACCTCAAGGCTCAGTGCTAGCTCCTTTATTATTTAACCTTTATACAGCAGATATACCTGAAACAAAATCGAGAAAATTTGCTTATGCTGACGACCTGGCCATTGGCTTCCAAGATAATAGTAAAGAAGCAGGAGAACGAGCTCTAAACGAGGACTTATCTACACTAAGTAACTATTTTAAGAACTGGCGCTTACGTCCTAACACAAGCAAAACTGAAACCTGTCTCTTTCACCTGTCGAATTAACTTGCGGGCAATACTCTCAATGTAACTCTTAATGACACAGCTATCAAACATAACAACAACCCCAAATATCTATGCGTCACACTTGATAGAACACTCACCTTCAAAAGTCATCTTACAAACGCAGCCGGTAAACTAAGAACACGAAATAACTTAATATCAAAACTTGCTGGAACAACTTGGGCTGCTTCTGCAGATACTCTTCGGACCTCTGCTCTAGCTTTGGTTTTTTCAGTGGCAGAATATTGTGCACCAGTATGGCTAAATAGTGCACATACAAGCAAAATCGATGTCCAACTTAACCAAACCATGAGAATAATCACTGGAACAATAAAATCAACGCCAGTGAGATGGCTGCCTACTCTGAGCAATATTGCTCCACCAGATCTACGCCGTACAGCAGCATTAGTGAGAGAGTACCAGAAAATTGTAGCCAACGTACAATTACCAATACATCAAGATATCCCAGACATCTCAAAAGAGCACAAACGATTGAGATCTAGAAATCCTCCAATACGATCTGCCCGAAAAATTGGTAATTCCTATGATATACATAGGCAATGGACAACAAGATGGATGCCAACAGTAGAATCGGACTATATTAAGATATCCACCCCAACTCAGGGTTTCATCGGATCAAATCTGCCCCGGTCCATTTGGGCAAGGCTTAATCGTATACGTACCGGACATGGTAAATGTGCTGATTCGCTGTTCAGGTGGGGTCGTGCGGAAAGTCCACAGTGCGATTGCGGAGAATCTAGACAGACCATAAGCCATTGTGTTTCAGACTGCTTAAATCGTGCCTACCGTGGAAACCTCCAGGACTTTGCGGAATGTTCCCCAGAAGCAATTGAATGGCTATGTAAATTGGACATTAATATTTAGTGTCATTCATTATATTCATTCTATTTTTACTATTTTTAGTGTTTGAATAATATATATAATATATATGTGTATATTATTGTAATTGTATTTGTATATTTATCGTACTGTGAAAGTCCATACGCTAAATAAAATAAATGTTTAGTTCAACTTCTACAGTTACTGGGTGATCACTTTAAGTAGCGTTAAAGCCGAACTTCTCCAGGATTTTTAAGCGGACCTTGTTTTATTTTTGTGTCTTTACGATACTTTACTAAGATATTTATTTAAACATTTACCTTCGTATCCATATACTTTGAGAATAGTTCTAAATCATCATACCACGTATTTTCAAGACTTTTCCTGTCATAAAGGGTTGGTTTTCCAGTACCTACATACTGTAAAGGATTCATATTTAATATATAACGACAACCATCCCATTCTTGTGTTACGATTCTTCCTAAAAAGTATTGAAAGTATATAGAGAACATCGAATACTATATTGAATACAATACCTTACCATAGACAGTCATTACAGTGACACTTAGATGTTCTATACCGCATTTTTCTACTATATATCTATATATTTTACAAATCTCGGTTTCTTTGTTGTTTACCTTTCCTTTCATGGGACCAGTACACTCCTACAAAATGATATGTAGACATTAATTAATGACCTCTGTACGCCATGGCCTGAAGTAAAGACACACGGTACTAGCCGTTAAGTTGAGTGAAGTTTGCTTTTATCAAGTGGGCAGTTTTATTTCCACTGCTTTGAGTTATAAAAAACAACAAGAAACAATTGCTAAATTATAGAAGCAACTGCTTTCTGCAAGTGAGAATGAGTTGTAGAGCTCTGAAGGTAATTAATTGATAACATTTTCTCACACAACAATATCAGCAAATAACTTTGAAAATATTGAAGCCGGAAATTCCAGTTACCCAAGTTTCATGTTACTAGTCAACAAACAAACCATACTACATTTTGATGACGAATATGCCCAGAAATCGTTTTCAGCTATCGTTAAAAACAGATTTTTTTAAACATTATTGATTACGTGAGATCTCGTAGAATATCACAATAATAATAGTTAAAAAAACCAAAGGAATTCATTTGTAAAAATGAGATCCTTGCACTCTTCAAGTTAAGCTGAAATTCAAAGAGTATAATCTCTAACGAACATCAAAAGAGACACCAAAAAATTCGAGTTATTGAGTTTTCGACATAATGAGGTTGAGATTCATTCTTACTAATTTTGTATACTTACTTTGGTGTTACTTTTGCTGAAGTCAATTCCCAATGAGTATGAGTTGAATAAAACCATAATTTTTATTTTCAATAAAAGATTTGTGGTTTTTCCAAAAATGCATGTTGCCGTATGAGCCATATGTCTTTATGAGATCGCACATACTACTTCAGAAAATTACTACACATGCATGCTAAAAACATTTATTCAGGCTTGTTACTCATTTTTCATAAAATATAAAAGTTCATTTCAAACATAACCCGACATAAGATCCTTCACCTGCACATCTCTTCTTTTTTTGTCTGAAGTGGGTATCAAAAGATGATCTCTTCCATCATACCTCAAATCATCATTAATTTTGTTTAAGGAAATACTATTTCTTGATGTAGCTGGTCTTCCACCCCCTTGAGGCGTAGTTCCATATCGAGATAGATATATATTTGCAATTTCACGTCTGACTTCTAGTTGTGTCATTTTTGTACCCATAGATGGTCGATGAATAATCCAAGCATTTACAATCGATACATCAACCTGCCATATAAATATCACACACCATCATTTTTTTAACATATTGCAATCCTATATCGACTGATATCTTTGTCCATTAGGAGAATTTCACCCATTCTACTATTATACTATAATGGCAAAAGATTTTGGTACTTGAATATGTTTGTTTTCGGCTTTAGAATATCTTTTTTTGCTTGAGACCAAGGCGTCGAACCATAGGCATTCTAAGTAATTATCACTGCATTATTGTCCAACCTCCCTATGAATATAAGACCATTATTTCTTTAATCGAAGCAAAAATCTCCCTTGTGTCCCATTTTACGTAAAGCTTTTGAAGATGTAAGAGGGCAGGTCTTTGGTATTCTATTCTCTCTAATAGTTCCAGCAGTGCTGTATCCTTTTAATCTGAAATATTTTAGTAAATTCATGCTGGTAAATAGGTTGTCAAAATGGAAATTAAATTGAAAGTTGTATTTTTTCAATTTTATCCAGCATAGAGATAAAAGGTGCAGTGCACTTTCCAAAAATTTGTTTTCTACATTCGTAGTCTTACGGTCTTTGTTTTGATACATAACAAAATTCAGTCAGTACCTTGAAGCAACATTTATGCACCACATTTTGAATCCGAATCTAATCGGTTTACATCGAATAAACTGCTTACATCCATGGCTACCGTATTACTTCACAATGGACTCGTCATAATTTGGGTTCTCACCCGGAATAAAGCAGTTTAAAAATTTTGTTTTTAGTAGATTCATTACAGGTCTTAGTTTATAAACTTTATCCGTTACATCCATGTTATTATTATCTGCACAATGGATGTATTTCATTACTTCAAAAAACCGGTTTCTTCTCATTGATTGACTAATAGCCTGATTATTTAGATCGGGGTGTGAATCCCAATAAAATCTTTTATCTGGAAGTGGATTGTAACCAGACACCAGTAAGATACCCAAGAAAATTTTTATTTCATCATTGGTTACAGGAAAATCAGGTGCATTATTAACAGAAACATACTTCATTGATTCCTCTACCAACAAATTCATCACATTCTTAAGTTCAAATAGTTCAGTTGGACTCATATTTTTGTACAGTTTATGTTTACCATCAGGAATCATCATTTTATTATGTTTTATATCAAAGAAAAGTTTTTGTCTAACTCAAGGCGCGGCGTAGTACATGATTCATCTTCTTTGTTGATCCCGCCATCGATGCCCATATTTGGTTGTTATGTAATACATCTTCAGAATTTGCAGAGAGTTGCATCATCTTCCTCGCTACCCGACTCTTCGTTTGATAACATTTTAGGCTCAGGAGGTACAATGAATATCTGATCCACATCTAAATATGTACGTCTGAAAAAAATATGTAGAAATAATTAAATAGTAGCGTATTGACCTAGCGTTACCATATGGTAACACTGAGATCACGGTCACTATGAATACACCTCAAATAATAATTTTATGTATTTTACAACATTATTACTAACATTTCATCTGTTTATTTTATATTTATTACGAAATTTCGCGAAAAAATTATAACTTATCCAAATACTTGAATTGAATGCAGTCACAGAAATTTGCTGTCTATAAACGTCTCTTGCCAACGTGTGAATTCACAATAAACAACTAGATCAGAAAACACGTCTTCCAACAACCTCACTGAAGCGACCTACAGCACCATCTGTGTTACAAAAGACACATTTTATACAGTAGGAATATTTATATAGACATCCGATTACGCAGGGCTAAAATGGTTTGAAGTCGGTATCTTATTTTTCTTCGAACTCTAAAGGTATGCAATAACTTTCAAATAATCGAGTTGTAAGATAAAACATTGCTGTGTTCGAAATACAGAGGTCCGATTTAATTTTTTGAGTTATAGAGGAAAATGTGTAATAAAATGGCTTACAGGGACTCACTGACTATTACGACTAATAGAGGGTTGGGATTTCGAGTAACAGAGTAATTGGAAGAACAATTCGAAAAATGTTGTTCTCAAAAAGATTAAAACGAGAGAAACAAGGCCCAAGAAAAAATACAAAATTTTTTCTTTAAAAGTTAAAAATCATCGAAAGTTTCTAAAAAACGTCAAAAAGATAGCACATTAAAAGACTCCTCAAAAAACACGTGCTCAAGATTAGGTAAATTTAATAATTTCTCCTTTAATAATGTGTAACAGTTGTGCTTGGCGTGTGAATCACTACTAAAACACAAAGACAGCTGGGTTCAAGTAAAAATCGTGTAACAAGCATTATCTGCCATTTGATTTATATTGTGCGTATGAACCAACACTGAATTATTGTCGTGAAATTTTCGACAGTCGCTTATATGTTATTAATTGTTAAAAGTACTTACATAATGGTTTCTGCACAGATCTCCATTGATATATGTTGTAGTTAATTCGAATTGCCCTTCATATCTTGTAATTGCTAAATATCTCATTAAGATAAAATTCGCCCCTTCACAAATAAGATCCTGACACTTCGCTAGACTGTAATATCTCCGATTATCAGTTTCTTCCTTTGAACTACAATGTCTGACGTAGTATTTTCTATGTTGTAGACCTACGTAAAGAGTTTTTTCATTGATTATTCCCTCGTCCTGGAAATACCTGTTAAAAATCGCTGTTTATTAATAAATGTAGTTTAGTTTCGAAATTGTAGACACCCAATTCTAATAAGTAGTTGATCTTCGAGTGGCGTACATTTTTTTGTAAGGGTGAGAGGTAGCGCTGCTTGTATTTAAGAATTTTTTAAAAATATGTGTACTACTATTCTCTTCTTAGCGCTAAGAAATTTCTGAACAAATATATGGGATCGGCCATAATGCAAATGAATAATTTAGACATCGGATTACATAGACTAAGAAAAATGCAAATACAGTATGCTCAAATTAAATCAAATTATTAAATTTATCAAAATCAAATTTACGTGAAGTGTAAGAGGGAAAATATTGCATCAATTACAAATTTTGTGATACACCCTGGAATGTCGATATATCAGATTCACGGGATCCGTTTTTGGTAAATGGATATAAAATCATTTTTGTTATTGAGTTATATCTAGCACACATGTAGAACCTGACAAAGTAGAATTTAAAAAAAAATATGATCGATACATGAAATTGAGGTATTTGTCACTCTAGTTGGCCAAAAGACATTATCAGTAAACTGATACAGTAAGAATATTTCTACAAGTTTATTGTAATTATAATTTGTTTTATATGTACCGTTTTATAATATATATTAGGTATATATTTTTTGTTAGATAAATACAATATATTAAGTTAGGTTCGACTATCTTCTCCAAAACTAACTCTTGGCGAAACTGAATTCAAATATTTACCACTGTGCATTTTAAAACTTGCAAAGCAGACAGTTTGATGAATTAGTCGGCAAAGGATTCCTAGGATTCCTAGTGTTGTTATTAGATGGCGTTGTAACGTATGTAAATAATTATTTCGATAATTATTGTCCCACGACGGGATATACTTTGTTTCGATTCAGAGCAACAGCATAATTCCGTTCTGATGAGACCTAAAGAGGTCGAAATACGTATAAGCGGCTTACTTTGACCCTGCATCGAAATTAAAATCTAATACCGTCATTATGTTTTAGTTGTTTACTCTGTTTGGAGTACCAGAAACTGAATTCACTACGAATTTTGACCATGATGAACGGCATGTGGAATGCATATTTTAGATTCCCTTGCCGACTAATTCATCAATCTGTCTGCTTTGCAAGTTTTAGAACGCACAGTGGTAAAGATTTGAATTCAGTTTCGCCAAGTAGGAAATCTTAGGATTCCTAGTGTTATTTTAAATACCTTGGATGTTGGATAAACGAGAAACGTGTATCCTGTATTACTATATAAATATGAAACCTGGATCATGAAGGTTAATATGATGAACAAATTAGAAGCCTTCGAGATTTGGTCATATCGTAGAAAGCTCAAAATATCATGGGTTCAACGAATCTTGAACCAATAGAAGTCTTAAACAGAATAGGTAAAGGCGAAGGTGATTTGGCGAAGAAAACTTGAATATCTGGGTTATGTAATGAGAGGGCAGATACGGGATACTACAGCTAATACTCAACGCAAAGATCGAGGGAAAAAAAGGAATTGGTAGGAAGAAATATTCATGGCTCCGAAACCTTCGTCAATGGACTGGTTTATCAGCAGATGGAAAACTATATGACCTGCTTCAAATCATTCTGCTGGGTAAGGTGTACAGAAGAAGAGGGCCAGGAAGAAGAAGGATGTTCTGGCTGCACAACATAGGAAACCAAATTACTACAGGACTTTGTAGGCAGCAGTCAAAAACATCAGAATAGCTATGCTAATACCTAACATCCATAACGGATGGTAACTATAGATTTCCTTGCAGTTTTCATAAATTACACCATCCAAAAAACGGATAGAATCGGACAGAACATCACCATCGATAACTTTAACTTTGTGCGCGTCAGAGAATTTAAGTATCTGGAACAACAATAACTGAAGACAATAACGGATCACAAGAAATAAACAATAGGATACAAGCCGGCAACAGATGTCTTTATTCCCTTCGACGATAGCGAAACGTAGACGATAACAAAGGCAAACGAAGAGCGACTACGTGTTTGGAAAAGAAAAATCCTAAAGAAGATCTTTGGGCCTGTAAGGACTAATACTGATAATAACTAACAAAGAGCCCGAAGAGCTGTATCCAGACGATAACATAATAAAAGAAGACTTCTGGGCTCTATGGGAAAAAACAGAGAGAAATGGAGGCATGTTTTTAAGTCGGCTAAAACCCACGAAGGGTGTAACGCCACGGACTAAGTAGGTGACGAATTTTCTCCTTGAATTACCGATGTCTTGCGACCAGCAGAATGACCGCGAGCTCGAAATTCTTTAGTTGCGTATCTGCGGCGCGGTGTTAGTTACCATTAAGTTGGAGTTAATGTTTATGGTGTACCAACAAACATATATATAAATATATATATATATATATATATATATATATATATATATATATAATATATATATATATATATATATATATATATATATATATATATATATTATTTTCTAAAGACTAAATATTGTAATTACTCTGTTCTTTTTTCTTCCAGTGTATGAAAATTCCTGTCAACCCAAGCCGTTATACGGGAGCCGCCGTTGAATCCTGAGTTGAACTGTGACGAAACATGCACCGTAAACTTTGTAGCGTTTGCCATCATTTCCTCTTTCAAGGACTTTTCGTATTCGATGAGAGTTTTTCGCAACTGCTCTTCTACTTCGTCCAGCTCGACGAGCTTTGTGCCAGGTTTTTTAATCAATGGTCCAGCAACTAAAACCATTTCAAACTTATATAGATCGACCGTTTGTTTGCCTATATTGAGTTAAAAGTTGTGTGTAGGTAGTAGAAAACATAATTTTTACACCAAGAGAAATAATGGAATATTTTAACATTTAAAAAGGATATATAAAATTGACAAATACAAATTGGCAAAATATTTTAAATTCAGAGCATAAAAATATATGGCAAAATATTTTAATTTCAGAGCATAAAAATATAACTTTATTTATTATAAACTAGTAATGATAAAACTTTATTAATATATAAAGTAGCTAACGTGTTACCAAATTTCAATTTAATCGTTTTATAATGAAATTTTAGTGGGGTAATATTCACAATTATAAATTCAAAATTTTGTATGTAAGCGCTTTTAGATGAGGCTAAATAAAGCAAAAGAAAAAATTGGCAATAGAGAAATTGTATAATTTTTTACTATATTTTTTTCGAATTATAAAAAAACTTAAAAATTTTTCGACACTTAAAAAATTAACATTCCCAATACAGTTTATTTTTTTTTTAAGCTAGTATTATTATTTTAACCTAGTTATTATTTTTTAAACTAGTATCTCATTTTATTTTTAATGTGAAATTTTGTTGTCATGTTATGGTTACCTACTGGGTAACACGTGTGAAACTAATGTGCGAAAAGTTTTAAACTCTGACAACAACAAACCAACCAAGTGGAAGATGTCTAGTATAACTTAAAATTTGTCTAATAGAACTTAAAACTTTGTAAGCTTTGTAAAGTGAAAGATGGCAGTGTGTGACCGAAGCCTAAATCTCGATAATGTACGATTTTTTCTATCTCTTGTAGCAACTAAATGGTCATGTTTTCTATATGTAGCCTGTTCTCCATCACTTCCGTGCCGTATATTGGCTTTGCCAGTTTTTTGAAAACGATTTCCGACTAATCACATTCTGGGAAACGTTGAACAGTCAGATCACTTCTTGCTGAGTGCAATTACTATGTTGCAAAAAGTCACTATGATGATAGTTTTCGGGAGGAAACCTTCATAGTGGCGTAATACAGCACTAGACACTAGAAAATCAATCTCATTGATATGGAAAGTCGCTTGTTAGAACTAAATCAAACGGTTAAAATTTGTACTTTAGTTACAGCGTTTTTATAAAAACAATGTTTAATATTTTTTACAAATATTCGAATAAAACCTTATTTTTACTTGCAATCAATATATAAGACGAAACATAAAGAATAATCAAAATATGTTTTAACTTTTTGTAACTTTACAATTTACATACATTATTGTACATTTTTCCGCACTTTTAGTATATAAAATAATCTTGTTGGCGTTTTTCTATTGCAGTTTTGTATTATTTTTTGGTTTTGCTCGCCCATGGTCCTTTTATTTTATTTTTGTTAATTATATTAATGTTAATGCATATACTAATAGTTTCATATTTCAAGAATTTTGTCCAGTCATTTACAATGTTTGACGTGTGCTATATCTTTGTACGTAACTACAATGAAAATTTGTTTGAGCTAATTACTTAAATAAAAAGAAAAAACAAAAAATATCATTCACATGAGATTTTCTTGTTTCGAACAAAATTTTATAGATATGTTTAAGACGTACAGTTCTTTGAACTAAAAGAAAAACAGTGATAGAGTTTATTAGGACTTTAGTTTTTCCTGTTCCAACTTTACCACTGTACGTTTAAACTAGTCTTTTGTAGATTGAGGTTATATCACTGTACGCTTAAACAAGTAGATTGGGATTATACCAAACACAAAAATTTACCTTGCTTAGCCCGTTGCAATGTTTGCGTAACTTCCTTTTCTATATCGGCATCTATTGCTTTTTTCTTAATATTATGTGGTAAAATTGCATCTTCAGCCAGTATATTTAAAACTAGGGATCCGACTGCTTTTGGCACAGTCTCCTCCGAATTTTCGTAGCCATCCAGTGCGCTAATTACTAAAGTTTCGGAAAAGGTCAGTTGTTTAATCATATCCTCATCTGAAATCATTACAGTTAACATTTTAATGTAAGTAAAAGTTGACATAGTACAAAAACGATAATTGGCAATAAAAAACATTAATTGTTAATTTTAAAAATTGTGTAAATATCCTCAAAAATAATTCGTTTATTTTGAAGTATTCCTAAAAATGAGTAAATACAAAACAATTAGTATCTATAAGTATGTGTATACATCTGCAATTGATTAATAAAACAGAATTAAAATCAAAAAATATATAAGCTATACACAATTTATTTTAAATTAAAGTTGGCTCTAATGTACATTTTAAATTTTTGCAGTTTACTTTATTAATAATTTCTAGTTAATTTATTCTTGTGATATTACAACTATAGAAATCAATTTAAATTTTATATAAGTATTGTCGAGAAAAATCTGAAAAAATTTAATAATAAATAAAAAGCTTTTCACCGTAAATAGTTTCGAAACACAATTCAGATTTTTTATTATCAGATGTCGCTATTGCGTCCATATCGAAGCCATTTTAGTGTTGCTTCTTAAAAGACAGAAAATATTGATCTTTTACGTTGAGAACACCTATGAATAATTGTTCTGATGAGACCTATTAGGGCGAAATACGTATCAACAGATACATAGGCGCTGTTTGCGTAAAATCAAATATTTGCTGTCTTTTTCATTTTAAAAAGCTTTTCGTTCACAATACTTAATGAGGACCACTTGCTCAAGTCAGGAAGTTTCGTTGGGGATTGGCAAGGATGTAAATGATAAAGAAAGAAGACGAAATATAAATCACAAAAACTGTAAAGTACTTCACAAAAGAAAAGTAAAGCGTAACAAATCAAATAATTACAATCTCTTTGCAACTTCATATAACAAATCTTCAATTCGTAATTACTTCTTCCTTTACTAGATACGCAACAGTCATGAGACTGATACCAAATATTAAACAAAATTCAAAAAAGGTATTTCTAGAATTCACAAAAGACATAAAAATGAAAGTGTAAGGACTTACACTAAACATTTAAAGACAAGACAAAAAGACAAAAGAAAGAAAACTTTCACAACAGAAGCAGAAATGTGCTAACTACTAAATGTCAAACTATTATTATTTTTCTGTACAACATTACATATAAAAAGATAAACTGTAAAAAAAACAATAAACATTATTTATTAATACTCAAAATGTTTATTAACAAATACATATTATTAAAAAAACAGATAGTGACATCTATTGTCATCAATAATCTTAAAATCAAAATAGATTGCAGTATTTAAATAATTTAAATAATCTCAATACGCAAATGACTTTCATTAAAACTTTAATATCTCAACAAAAAAATATTTGACTGCAATTTAAACGAATTTCATTGGCCTTTGTTTTGTTTTATTCTAAAATTAACGTTACAAAATTAGAATGTTATATTTAGTAAAATACTCAGAAAAAAAAACTAAAAATAAACTCTCAACAAAAAATGATAAAAGTTACGGTCCTTAACAGCAAACAAACATTATCATTATAAAATATTTCACTTCCAATAGTTTTTTGACATTTGAAAACATGACCATAGGCCTGGAGAAAAACAGTTGTTGGAATCCCAAGGAACAGGTAGTGATCATACCCCAAGGGTGATTAACCCAGTCGGCAGCAATCAGATATTATCTCTTACTATTGAATTAATTAAAAACGAACAGTGAGCGACTTACTACAAAATTGTGAGTTTCTCGATCGTAACTAAACTACAAATATGCACGTCTGAATGCAGATTGATACAAATAATAGCTGGCAACTGAGAACTAAAATTGGATAGTGGCTTTTTATAAATTAGGCCTAACCTAATTAATTTTTGGAAAGGGGTGTGTAGTTTGGTTCGAAATATTTGTTCCCATGAGAAAATAGTTACGCTTTAACTAAAAACCAATAAAACTTTCAGAGGAATTATGCGCGATTATTACTTGAATGAAGTGGTTTAAAAGAAAACGTATTCGTTTATAGAATACTATAGCCCCAAACATACTTTATTACGATAAAGGTATTTTAAGAACAAGGGTATTTTAAACACTTATACGTATTCGAAGCGATAAAAATTAATAATCCCAAGACATAGTTAACAAAAAATACAGGCACTTAATAACGAAATTCAAACTGCTACAGTAGGACTAAAAGAGCTAAAGAGCGATAGCCATAAACCAAAATAAACAAGGAAAATATTAATCGCACAAACTGAAAAAAACCTTATAAGATCTACGTATAAATAAAATATTATTGTCATCCAATTTGTTCTTGACCTGATAGTGAAAACGATAATTTATTCTTTAGGCGTTTTATTTGTTAATATAATCTCTCATATTAATATATATCATCCAGCGACGTATAAATGCCATTATTCCTGCTATGTAATGATGCTCAGGAAATATGGCAAAGTACTCATCTACAGTTGCATTGACTTTTTGATTGGACGAAAAACGCTGGCCAAATCTGTGAAGAAGAGTGTGGATTCCATAGTTTTCCTATTTACAAAACACTTTTTTTAGTGTGGTGAACTGTCCTCACGAAAACGAATGTTTTTTCCGGGCCAACTTTCTCGGATGATTACGTCTAATTTCTTTTGGAAGTTTGGAATACTTACCTTTTGGAAAGGCACTCCACTTACGGTTGTGCCTTTTTCGATATAGTCGACCGGAAAAAAAATGCTTTTATAAAAAATAAGATTTGGTTTCAGATGTGTAGTAGTGAATTCATGTTTCACCCATTTTAGTGTATAGATGCAAAAAGTTACTTTTGTTTTTCTTTTGAGTTGTACTTGTCAGACAATCACATGCAAATGTTACTCAAAGCTGTTTTATGTTCAATTCCTGGTGCTAGATGTGTTAAAGGGTAAATTTACACAGAATGTTTTAACTGTACGTTACTCGATTTTTCCAGTTTCAACGTCACGCGCATTCCAACTGATCTACTGCCTACAGTCAACTGCTGCCTGGAATGACTTGTACATGGTGTCTGCGAAGTAATGTTTTATGTAAGGTGAAAAATCATACGAGTAGTGTGCAAACTCTGGGCTAAGCCGAGAACTTACCACACCCCCTTAGTATTTAGATAAAAAAAATATATAAAAATATGTGTCCACCATGGAGGGAATCGCAGCGGAATTTGGTCGTACCAAGCCAAACGAATCGCTTTATGATATATTTAATATATCAATTCAAGTTTAAAAACGTTGTTGCTTACACAAAATAATTAATCTCTAACTTGATTTGGTCACTATATATTCGATACAGATACAGAAATGTGGACACAGAGGCTGGGGAACACAGGGAACGGAGACATAAGTTGTTTATAAATAACGGTAAACAGTACTTGATTTACGTCTATTTCCGTTCGTTTTATTCGGCTGATTTGTGTATATGTATGTAGAGTCTCGTCTTCTATGAAACACATTAAAAGTTTTGGCCTTTTCGCTTGTATTCTACTTATACTTGCGATAGTCGTAAAAATAAGCATTACTTGAATAAAAATAAGATGAGGGAAAGTTTTGTTGAAGCCTTCCATTTGGCAGAAATATTAAATATCAAACTTGCGTGCGAGTGTGCTTTACAAAAATAAATATATTTCAATTTGCTCAAAAGCAGCTGTATATGTATATATGGTTTTTCACTAATAATAAATTTATTTTTTTGTTTAATTTAAAACAAAGTTTTGACACATATTTACAATTAATCTGCGGTGATGCCACGATTACAAAATAATCAGTGTTGTCCCAAATGGATTGAATTTAACTCTTAATTGAAGTATGAAAAGGAAGAATACCATTAATACTATATAAAATATTATTCTGGTAATACAACAATTATTAATTTATCTGTTTTAGAAGTACATTAGGCTACAAGAATTTCAACTTAAATCTTAAGACGTACGTAATACAACAAAACTAAGAGTATCATTGAATATAACAATTTATTTATTCTTTTACTTTGATTTATGGTATATGATAATAGATAAACAATATTTCCAATGTATATTTGGCAATCGCTACGTATACAGCAAATTCAGTTACGTGAAGTATTATTTTAGTCCAGTTTAGCTCTAAATAGCAGATACCACTGACTATCACTTAACCTAAAGTAACATCTTACAGATACTCCAAGAGATGACTGTCGGCGAAACAATCTTGTCAAGATGCTATTATCGGTCGTAAAATCTAGTAACTCGAGGCGAAAATACCTCATTTCGCACACCTCATCATAAAAGACGTTTGTTGTAAGTACCATCTATATAAAACATATTTAGTTATAAATTCTACACAAGAATAAAATTCCAAAATCAAAGTACAGAAAAATGGAAAAGAAAAAAATAAATATCACCCATTTTACAAAAGTCGCTCACTCATTTTCTCAAATTTCTCTCATTTTCAATAGGTTTAAAACTACACTATTTGGAATATATTCTCATAATTACTGAATAGAGTATATATAATATTACAACTGAGTCATTCATGTTAGAACCCATATCTTTTCCATTGATCTTTACAGTTGGATCGATTAGGCAGCGAAAAACTGATTGTCGCAGAGTTTCATGGTGTTGTAAATTGTAAACTGTACATAGAATATCTTAATACAATTTTTTAAATAAGGATCTGAATCGGGTTATTAGCCGTGTAGTATAAATTGGACAATGTTGTTTCTCTCGACGTCAAAGGACACTGAAGAGTTAAAGAGAAGGTACATTGACAAGTAATTAAAAATAAATGCCTTCAAGAACCATATATATAAATATATATAAGTATTCCCGAATATATCATTTCAAAGATTATATTATTTTTTTTTTATTTTGAATTAACATGTCTCGATGTCTTTGGTAATGGACACGGAAGCAAAGGTTTACAATAGTAATTATGTATATTTTAATTATAGCGGTATATAGTAGCGGTTAAAAAATAACAATATTATGTGAATTAAATTTTTGTTAAACAATTGTGCAATCGGCTTGAACAGTTCAAAAGTTCTTCTAAAATCTGATTTATGT